GATTTTTAAGATCTTTACTCTGGAAAAAACCTCATGGCAAGCTACAGGTTTTCGAGAAAAAAAAAATACTTTGACGTTAGCAATTTATCACAATTTTTGAGATAAATATTTCTGATCGGACGCTCTTTAGCTTGCCATGATACTTTTTCTTGAGGAACTTCCACAAAGAAATGAAGTCTAAAGATATAGGCTTGGGGGAAATCCAAACTGTTTTGATTCTTTTTAAGAGTGAGGGAAATTGGCGATTACGGTGCAATGATTTTTGCATTAGACGCTGTTAAAGTTTTTATCCAAAAAGTTGTTAGAGAAAACTCTGTGCAAATTGCTCCAAATTTTCCCGCCAAAAGTCTTAGTGTATATACGAAATATTTTTCTTGACACATTTTTTATTGATTTAATTGAAAATTACTCAGTCTGTTTACTTGTGACTAAAGAGAATTTAAAAAAATAAAATACTTTGAATATGAAACTTTGTTGGTTTATTAAGTATATAATAGAAAACAATAAAAAAGACAACAACTGAACTCTTTACTTTATTGACTTGCTTACCCATAGTACATGTAACACAAGAAGACAACAAGTGAATAAATATTGAGGTTTATTAGCAAAATTGTCTACATTCGCTTTAGTGAAAAAAAAAAAAAAAACGGCGCATGCGTATTTTAGGCACCGTATTTTTTCTAAGTCTTTTGGCGGGAAAATTCGCCACATTTGAACAGATGTTACTTACAGAGTAAAATAAGAAAATTGGCGCATGCCTAGTTTAAGCGCCCGTACTTTATATTTTTCTAAGTTTTTCGGCGGGAAAGTTTTTCATCTTAAACAACCCTTACCGTGGATTGAACTGACAAAAAAAAAACACGAAATAACAACTTTGTAGTCCCAGGTTTTGGCGCTTGAATCTTTGCTTTGACTCAAAATGAGCTACATCTTGTTTGTACCTGTGCAAAGATATTTTCTGTCACTTGCATCATAGACTTTCTTGTTTAATTCGAGCTTGAAGTATCAGGGATATTCAACAGGCAGTCTGGAAAAAAAAAAAGAATTACAAATTATGTAAACTAACAAGTGCCCTAGAGTTTAAATATTGTTCTCTCAAGCGATGATTATGTTGGTTTGTCGCAGAAACACGTATTGAAGAAATGTATAATGGTTTCCGTGTTTACAGAGCCTGATGTAAACACGCAGGAGGTTGGGAGATCACGAGATCTTATCTTCCAGCTTATCTCGTGTTCTCCCAACCTCCCAAGTGTTTACATCAGGCTATGTAAGCACGGAAACCATTTTACATTTCTTTCATAAAATAACTAATAAAGAGGAACGAAAACCGTGTTTACATACGCTCATGTAAAATGGTTTTATGGCCAATCAGAGCGCGCGTTCTATTTGAATTATTTTATAATTGGTAATGTTAAATGGAATAAAATCTAGTTTTGAAATCTTTAAGTATGCGTAAGTGTACAAATGAACATGAACGCAACCTGTAGTTAACGATGAATTCAAGACGACACTGAATATTCTAATAAATTCGAGAAATTTTGTTGTGGCAGTTGTCGTCGAAATTACTTCAAGTTAGATTTATTTTAGATCAGTTGAGCTTTCCGCCTGTTTGTTTTCATGTTTTAAACCATCCATTTCAAGCCGGAGGTTCATAGTTTTAGTCTAGCAACTTCTCTGAACGCTCGTCAGCGATTGCTTTGAGATCACGTAGGAACACACAAGCAATAATTGTATAAATTTAGTTCCTGCTTGCTTGAATTATACCTTAAACCATTTGAAATGCCCTTGTAAATACGAGTTCCTGATTTGTTCCAATTTTTCGACGAGAAGCCAGAAAAATTAACTAATCGAAATATTTTTGCTAGTTTCTGTCTGCAACACACCATACTAATGCCATGCATAGGAAGAGCATATGAAAACAAATCTTGGCGCTTGAAAATTTGTAATAGTCCGTGAATATTTGAATAAGAAGAACAATTAAATGTGTCTGGGCTGCATTTTTAACCAAAAAAGCTGCAAATTACTCATGTGACAACTTCTATATGTGGCTAAATAGCTTTGAAGGAGTTATGGAATCGAGCTAACTATTTCTTTCATAAATTCGTTCCCAGTGAACACCTTTGCATTAGTCAATTTAAAACTAGAGTTTTTCAGTGTCCTACCATTTTAAGCAACGCCATTTGATATTGGGTAACCGAGATTTGGATTAAGTAGGCAGTAAATTCTTAACAATTTCTGTGCTTTGGAGCATAGTTGTACCATTTGTCAGAAAGTGTCCTGTATTTCTTTCCTTTCTTGTATATCTTGATTCAAAGTTCTATAGAAAAAGATATATAAATTGTGAATACGCGCATGCCTGAGTGCTTTTTATACTAAATAAGATAAATCATGAACTTTTTTAGAGCCGCCACATTGTCTGGTGACAAATTTAATGCCTTTTAGTGTTATTGAACCAAGGAATTAGGAAATTTTATTGTTACACCTTGCTAAGCATTCGAAAACGAAAGTCATAATCAACTGGGAATAACTGAGGTAACTTTGACAAATGGTCTTCTACCTTAAAACTACAATTGTGTTTGACAAGCTTACTGTTGTCACGGTAATTTGATAACAATGTTTGCAACAAAAGAGTTGGAGCAGTGGCATTGATTAAGCTTAAACTTAAGAAAATAATGGTTCATCAAAGTAAAAGAGCTGTAAACAACTTCAAGTGCAAGTCACCTTAATCAGACGGTGATCAAAGAGGAAAAAAAATTGAAGAAAACGGCTTTGATTTTATTTATAGTTTCTTCATTTTTATCTCTGTTTAAATTTCAGCCACTGACCAGATTTACAAGCTTTAATTTGATGAGTTTTTAAAAAAAAAAAAAACCAGAACACCGACCTTATTGCACGTTCTCCTAAGTTCCCTCATCGCTCCATGCTCTCTCATACTATACTTGATGCTTTTCTAGAGTCAAGAAGAGGAAATACAACGGGAATCCATGAATACCTTCTCAGTAGTGCTCTATATAAATAATAATCATAAAAATTCTAATTTTCTCGATTGTGACTGGTCTAAAAAACTCCAATTTTCCACTAATTCACCTGCCAAGTTGTTATCGGATAGTTCAATAAGCCAATCACATTCAAAGTTGTAGTTAAAATCAACTAATCACAATTTTTATCCATAACTTGGCTATTTTTCTTTTTTCGGAAATTGTAATTTTCATAATTAATTAATAATAAGACTTCGTGTCGTCCTACTCGTTCTTTTATTGTACTTGCGATAAATGACTCGGACTCCCACTGCGCGGTATCACTTGTATGATTACAGATCTTATCAATAAAGGGCGTATGAGAGAGAGGGCATTACAGATTTTTGTAATCAAGACTGATTACCTGTTAATGATTGGCTAATCCGTTGCATTGCTAATCCGTTGCCATTACATTTTCCTTCGTAATCGATAAATCATAGAGACAAAGATATTTATATTTTTTATGTTGAATAGAAAGTAGAATGTCGCTACCAGAAAAAAACATCATAAAATCGATAAATTATAGAGACCAGTGTGTTGAATAAAAGTAGAATGTCGTTACTAAAATAAAACATCATAAAGTCTACTAAGGTGATGTGACTTTACTTTCAACAAGTTAAGGAAGAGAACAAGAAAAAGATTCTAAGATAAAGGCCCGTCTCTGCATAAGAGATTGCCCTGGACGGTTGTCAGAGTCTATCTTGGTTTCTGTAGTGTGAATTAAGCGATAGTGAGTGTACAGACACTAGCGTCTGTGGTTGGGAAACACGTACATAGCAGTTTACCATTGAGTATTTTGTCAGGTTTTTGGACAAAATGAATAAAAGTGTGTACTGCCATCCACGGCGTCTGTATGGAAAAAGGGAACCAATCCTCTATGTCATAACGTTTTCATGGTCACCCTTTTTGGTGGGGTTGGACTGGAGGGAAAGGGAAAGTCAAAATAGGTTTGAAACGCACCACAGGCCAGCACACTACGATCATAAAAGCAAGTTGAAATATATGAACAGCAATGAAAAGAGATATAATTAAATAAGCGATGAATACACTAACAATAAAATACGAATTTCTCGCGTTCAAGAATAACTGTCATGGCGGCTAACATTGTGTTATGTGGATTACGCTCTTTCCTCTTACATTTGGCATTGTGAATTCATTTACAAGGCAACGACGAGAAAGACGTATCTTCAATGTATCTTACTTTAGATTATTTACCTGAGGAAAAAGTCGATACAAAGTTAAAAGCACAAATCTTCGACATGGCATCTGACTTGATCCTGCAGAAGAAACAGTCGCTGACCAGGACAGAACAGACAATATCTAAGGTAATAGGTCCAATAGGGTCGTAAGGACGTGTTTCTTGACTCCATAGAAGCTAAAAAGAACGCTCAAATTTCTTGTAGTTCCTAAGCGTAGTTCGTAAGCTCTTTCCACGTGCAAGAGTGAGCACAAATATGAATATTGATTAATAAAAATTATTTGTAATTCAAATGAGTTTTCCGACGTGAAAAAAAGGATTCAAAATAGTCGACCCCGAGTTCCTCGGTCTGTTTCGTTCAACCATTAAAGTAGGCTGCCTCGCATAAGTCTGATTTTCAACTTAATGAAGTTTCATAGAGTTCTGCAAATAGTGCTTTAATACAAGAAATATCAGTTAATAAAAAGCATTTTTAGTCCTTAATTATCGGTAAACCAGAACTCCTCGGCATATAGATATTTTTTCCTTTCGTAGGAGTATTACGAGGTCTCGAGGGTCTGTTGTTTGTCAGACTGCATCAGTGTCAAAAAAACACGTTACGGACGAAGTTGTTTTATTCGGCCATTTTCCGACTGGATGAACTCACGTACACAATTTTAATATCTATGTACACACATATAAATGCAATATCTTCAGGCCTCCCCAATTTTCAAAAAGACGTTCCAAGATTTCAAAAAAGTATTGTTCACAATCCTCTTTCATAACACGGTATTCGCCTCTTAATGTATTTTTTGATAGTACAGTTTATTCAATTCTTTACAATCGATTTTTTTCAACAGTCAGCAGGTTGAGGAATATACTCAACCAGGTACTAACTAGATCGGTTGGAATATCTACAGATTCTGGAAAAAAAAAGAAAAAAAAAGAAACTTTTTCGGATATATATTTCTGTTGTCTCTATTGTAGCACTGGTATAAACCCGTGTCGTAAAAAATGGACGATTACCACGCATTACATTCTGGTAACTTAAACACGTCCCGTATATTTCTTTGCGTGATTCCTATGTTCGGAACATCTAATAACTAAGCCAAAAAGGTTCCAGCTTTACAATTTGTAGTTTTAACCTAACTTAAAACAATTGAACAGAAGAGCCCAAATAAAGTGACCTGGCCTTGGATCGAAGACATGACCGCGAGGCGTGAACCTATAATAAATGTATTTTCAATCGATGTTTTGTTTTGTTTCCCTCGTTTTTCAATGTGATGTGTCAAAACAGAAAAAGAAAGCTAATCTTACTCAGTGAAACTACGAGAGAAAATTGTTTGTGCTTTAATTTTCCCTTTTTCCTCAGGAAGTTTACCACGAACCCTCAACTTGATGTGTTCGATCCAAGGTACCGGTGGTTTACTTCACAGGCGTTCCTTCAGATATCATACAACGATCCCCTCCTCCCAGAAGGACGCTTTTACTGGGGGGAGGGGAGAATAGTTTTCTGATTAGCACGAGGAATGCAGCCTATGGCTATTAACAACCCGACAACTACCTCCTCATCCAGCCAAAAAAAATAATTCCTCCTAATGAAAGTTTCTACTTTCTTTCTGTATACTACAAACTCTTATATGCCGACCAAACTTAAAACGATTACCCTTTAACTCACGTGAGTGACCAAGACAGAATTTCTCCCTACAATTTCAATACAATAACAAGTAAACAAGTGATGAAAACAAAGAAAAGCTACCAACTAGGGGATCATTAAGTTGATCCAAAACCAAATTATCCAAACTAGTATCACCAAAACTGTTTGACAGTCAGTAAGGAGAATTACTAATAAGATCTTGGGAGCGAAAGGGTTAAAATAATTCATACATATCATACACATGTGATAACACACGAGATTTATAAAACGAAAAAATGCTGAAATAAAAATATTAATGTACGTCACAAAGATTGAGTATATATAATACATGACGATCTATATATAGTATATACAACAAACCAAAACACCTCTACCGACTTATTTACAATAGCTACCAAATTTCTAATTAAAAAGACACTAGAGGTGATTTCATATGTGGCAATAATATACTTTTCTTGCCGACAAATGGTCAGATGAAACAAGCAGTAGCCGCGTTTGACCTTGAGGACGTTTGACCTTGGGCGCGTTTGACCTTGAGCGCGTTTGACCTTGAGCACGTTTGATCTTGAGCGCGTTTGACCTTGAGCGCGTTTGACCTTGTACGCGTTTCGATTGCGGATTGTAAAACCAAAAGCAAAACAATCATAACAGCCAACCAAAACAAAGGAAAAAAATCACACAGAGTCAGAAAACGCAGAGAAAAAAAAAAAGCAAACTGTTCAATGCGTGGGAAAACGCGGGTGACCAAGTCACGATTTTTTTCCTCTGAATCTGATTGTTTAAAATATGGCGTGAGTTTTCTGAACCTATCACATGTCGCGTGAAGCAAAACCGAGCCAATTCTGCATTACTCTCGCGTCATTATAAAAATTGTTCTAACTTCAATTGTGATTGGTTGAGAAGTCACTCATATTTTAATGTGGACGTTAGTCCAATTACCTTGAGTTTCATTGGCTCTTGCTACTAAGTTTTCGGTTTTACGATATCCCATCAAAAAAAGCTCTATCCTCATGGCACTCATCGCAATAAACGTTTGTCAATTAAGAAAATTATCTACCTCTAACTAAGGAAACAAGAAGGTGGTCTTCAAAACAGATTAACTGTTTGGTGCGGTTTCCTATTGTTTTGTGCGACAGGATATCTGGATCAATGTCAGTTTCTTAGCAAATGCTCACCTACCCCTCCCCTAATCCAACATTAACCCTAAGTTGTACTCAGTTGACAGTTGTTGGGTTAGGGGAGGGGTAGGTGCGCAGTTGGGGCGAACGTCCATCGCTGAGTTTGTTACTCGACGCTCTCAATAGTGATTAGGTGGTTTCCAGCCCAGTGATATCGCCAGCTTATTCCAGAATAATTCCTTTTCTAGTCGTTTGTAATCGAGGTAATAAAAATGAGACATGGAACGAGGAATATTGTCTCTGTAACCATCATCAATAAGAACTGGTATGATATCAAGTTTTTTTTTGGTTCCTGTGAAGGCAAAATGAAACACAGGTCACCATCAGCATCTTTTCTGAGATAAAGTTGTTGTAAAGTATCAATTCATACCAGAGAAAATTAAAGTAAAGAAAAACCACACCGAGATTTGAACGAAATTGTGCCGAATCGACAAATCGAACCAAACAAATTCCCATCGGTTCAATGTATTCATCTCCAGAACATGCGCAAATGCAGCGTATGATCCCATTTCACGAGCAAAATGGTTAATCTTTCCTTTTATCATATCTCTCAGTTTGTACGTGGGCTGCGATTTCGCTGTAAGGCTCGCTAAATCAAAAAGTTTGTTTGAGTTTAAAATTGAAGTTTTTTACCCAGATATATGATAAATATCTAACTACATGCAGCGTTGTTTTCTTGGTCCCTACTTGAAGTTTCTGAAACTCGATTTTTACGCTTAGATTTATGGCCCGCGCTTTTCGCGCCGAGCAAAAACTCGTTTCATAACTTGATTGAGCATGAAAGATTCACTCTCCTATTGGACCCCAAATCAGACAGCTGTCAATCAATCACGTTAGCAAATCTCTGAATGGTTTGATTCTAAAAAACATAACATTTCTAAAGACCGTCCAACTGACCTGTTGACATACTCATGGCTACATCTGATTCAAAGCGGGCCTTTTCACTATCATGGTAGTTCCTAGACCAAACAAGAACCACGTTTCTACAATTTTTCTCGATGGCCGTGGCAATTCCCTCAAAACGTGAACCACCAGGCAGGAGATCTCGTCTTGTATCACATACATGACGGTTATATGGTTCACTTTCCATCCTCTTGACAAGTTTATCCACAAAAGCACGATCTCCCTCATCGTAGCATATGAATGCGTCATAAGAATCACGAACTAGAAACACAAACAAATTTCCTTTACAATAACGAAATTGAGGTGTTAGAGCAATTTCAGTTATGTCGTTAGCAATCCAGGATTGCCTTGGTTTTGCTTTACTAGGCTCTGTGATGGGTCTTGAAAAATCGTACTCCTCAGATGCAAAACTTAAACCAATCACGACTTGGTCGCCCACGTTTTCCCGCGCATTCTTCGTTAATACTTTGAGTTCCCTTTGACCCCCGAGAGCATCTAATTTCTCCTTACAATGACATCCCAGAATCACACATTAAGGTCATGGGAATAAGAGAAATGATCACCAACTAAAGAAACTCTTTGATTGTTAAATAAATTCTCCTCATCAGCACCTCAAGAAATGTATACAGAAAAGTATAGAGAATATGCATACTGATGCCAAGGTGTAAAGGGTTTAATTTTTTTTTCTAATAAGGCACATGTGTTTTCCATTCTTCTGATTGACCATCGTTATAACCTTGGTTTGGTTTTACAACACTCAATCGAAAAGAGCTCTTTACAAAAAATTGGGTAAATTTGATAGCAAAAAAACTAAATTAGAAAAATACAATAGTCCACTCACTTGTTTTCTGTTCATCAATCTTTGCTGTAAACAAGAACATACGATGGAGATAAAAGACACTGATGTTATTTAAAATTACTGACAACAGCCACCCTAATTCAGCCACTGGCTAAGAATAAGGCTCTTGTTTAAATATCATTTTTTACAGTCAGTCATCTTCAATGACTGGTTTAAGAATGGAAATGAAAACCAGTCTGTTCCCAAAACAGCTGTTAGAGTTCCTATGCACCATGCAGACAGAAAGGTGTCGTAAAGCACGACACTTTCAGTTGTGATCATTTTTTGGTCAGATTGAAGAAAAAGGCAAAATGTAAACATGAGAAGTTAAGCAATGACTAAGGAGTAATGTGTTGATCAATTCAACAATTCAAAACTTCAACATCCAACCCCCCACACATTTTAACTGATGAAGATTTGTTTGTTCAAATCCCCCCCCCCTGTCCCCCCTTCCCCCCCCCCACCCCCTAACTACAATTAAACTGGTATTAAGTGGTCACTCATGGGGTATGGCAGAGTGACCACTTTGTACAGTTTGACTCATTAAAACAGGTTCTACAGAACAGGGTGGATATAAAAAACAACAAAAACCTTATTCTATACCATAGTTGACCACTTTATGTATAAAAACTTGCTCAAAAATACTACTAACATTGATTTTCAGAGAGAAACATGAATTAACTTTTACTTGAGAGATTTTTGTTAGTTTTATGTAAGTGGTTCCTCCTTAGGTGACCATTCATTCAGATGGAAAAACAATACAAACAGGCTGTTGGGACTCAGTCAAGGGTGACCACGACTGTTTTATAGACTGAGGTGACTGCTACATAGTGGTGAAAATTACAGTGATTAAGGGAAAAAATTTGGGACCTTGACAACTGACCACTTAATATGGTGCAGCTTTAAATAGGTTGAACTGTATATACGTTAACACCTCCATATTTAATACAGCATTTGTATTCTGCTAGAAAGACTTATCAATTCTAGTTCAAATTCCCCACCCCCTGGCACAGAGGATGATCAAATCCTTGTGGGTTGCCAGGGGAGAGGTTGTTGAAGCTTCTAATTGCTTGGAGCACAAGGACAATGAAAGTCAAGATGAAATTGGCTTTTTGCTGTAATTCTGTCTGTTTGATTTTCATTCAATGATATCGCACAGTGATTTAGATAATGATTTTGACCAGAAGCACATAACTTAGGTTTTCTGCTTCTGCCTTTATATAATGTTCAGTTAAAGCAGGCTTAGTAAATACAAACAAAGTACAGTTACAGTCAAACACAGATACATACATTTTTGAAATCGCTCTTCAATCACCCTTCGAGGAGGTGTTCTCTCTGAAAATGATCCAAATCAAATAATGGTTAACTCTACTATGGAAGAGATTTTCAGTATAGTGTCACAAGTTTTCTATGATTATAATAGGTTTTTCTTTTGATTTGTTTAGAAAAAGACTCCTTCTACCCTCTCAATCAATCAAATGTCAAACTAAAATCAACTGTAACTTGTTTCCTGGTATATTCCAGCGCCAAAGGCAGTTTGCATGTTTCAACTTTCAGTTCTCGTCAGTTTCTTGTGGTCTTTACAATTGTTGTACACTTCTACATGAGTTGAAAGTCCAAACCCATAAAACCCAAGATTGTATTTTGTAGAATCTGATGTTAAAAAAAATGTGTTATTCGAAAAGTTAATCTGGGTTTTATGTTTAATAATGATAATCCAGTAAAAAATCACAATTGTGCACAGGCACTCTAAACTTGCCTGGCATACACTGATTAACAGTCTCATTTTATGAGTTTCTATGATAATCAAAGATCTTTACAACTGAACCTCTTCTGCAAATGTGTAGATGTGCCCTATTCATCTAAGCATTTAAGATCAGCTGATCAATATCCACCAAAAAAATTTTATACCCACCAACCACTAAAAGAAAAAAGTTTATCCTACCTATATATGGCTGAAGGTCCTCCACCACATCTGGTCTGTCTATTTGTTTTAGAAGTGACAACAGCTCTTTAATTGTTCTTCTCTCTTCTCTTGCAAATTTTATAAACAGTTCTTTCACTGGTTGAGGTAAACTTTCAAGATACTTAATGTACTCGTATTTGTATCCCATTTTATCAGCCAATAAGCGGTAGTCTTTTCCAAGCATATGCGTGGGTCGCAGTAGAATTGCCAGCTTTTCATAAACCTCTGAAGGCATATCTTTAAGCAATTTCTCATCATCAGTTGAAGAAAGATCTGTGGGTTTTGAATCATGTTTAGCCCACAAAAGTGAGTTTTAAAATAATAAAAGGTGATGATGACCTTCATTAACCTTTAACTCTTAAATGGTAAACAGGTAATTTCTCCCTAAAATATCCATACATTGTCCAGTAAAAACGTAACAAGAATATTCAAACTTATCAGGTGGAAGTCGTTATCTTGATTGATAAGCAAAATCTGTTAATTAATTTACAAGGAAATGTGTAGCAGCTGGAAGGCAGAATTAACAATCAGATCTTTGGAGTTAGAGGGTAAACTTTATCCTTCACAGTAATAACTAATCAGGGATTACAAGAAATTCATTCTATTGTCTGGAGAAGGTTGATGTCACCATTGAGAACGCAATAATTTTCTTGCTGAATATTCTACCTTTTAGAAGCGATTATTTGCTACCTGCCTCATTTAACATTGATTCTCCATCAAGGACAATGATAAGGAAGGTTACAAAAATTATCATATGGAAGAAACCTTGTTGAAGGAACTTCAACAGCCAACAAAGAAATGTATCATCTGGGGTGCCAAATATGTTCAGTTTCAAGACTGTGAGGGGCAACTAATTTTGCAATTTTATCGCCTTACCTCCCAGATCTCACATGGTTTGCGGGCTAAGCAATACCTTCTTATGGTCAATACATTTAGGGATTGGGGGACTGTATATAACTACTCGAACTTTACAAACAAACTAATAAAAATTTTTTTGAACTCACTAACCTACAGTTGTGGGGGATACTTCATCAGAGTCACTTGTGCCCACATCCTTTTGCTCACACGAATCCACAATCCCACTTTCACCAGAATTGTTTGCTTTGGATTTTTCCTTGCCATTAAGAGTTCCTTCTTCTGAATTCGGCGGTGGTGGATTGGAGCTCAATTCGTTTTCACTACTTTCCTGTTTGCATCCACCATGTTGTCGTGTTTTTTTGCGCTTTAATTTAGCCTTGAGCCGAGATCCCTTTCCAAAGAAATTCCACTTTCTGAATGCTTCCATCCTATAGCAAAAGAATCATTTCAGTCACTGTGCAACTCGCGAACCAGCGAAAACACCAGAGCCAATCAATATCTTGTTAACAAACAAGGAAGTTTATGACAGATGAAGACTGATCTAACTTGCAAAGCGATCTTTATAAGATAACATTGTGGTCACACAATCAATCATAAACATACACCGTACTAGATAAGCAAACAAACCCGTTGGAGTTTCTTGAATCATTAAAATGTGATACAGATCTCCGCATCGAGAATATTCGAGGACACCGAGCGACAACTTGTCAATTTTAGTAATTATTTTCTGAGAAAACGCGGTGATGCTGATGAAATAGAGGACTGCACATTTGTCTGGGAAGGCTACCGACCAGAAACTTAGTCGAGACAGAATATCAGAGTCTAAATTTTGCACGATTCTGCTTTCAAATCTCTCACTTTAGTCTGTATACTCAAAAACACTACATACGTTCGAAATCAATCGTTAGAGAATACAGGCGGTGACCAAAGACAAGCAAACACGAAGCATTGTCTTTAGAAAGAACAATGGCTAGTCATTTTGCGGGATGTTAAATAAAAAATCTTGATTCGCGAGGCATTTCTTCAATCATCGGATTAAAAACTGGAAAAAACTCTTAGATCTCTGCTCTGTAACGTGCAAACCGAAGGTCAAAACAAGAAAATTAAAAGTATTGCAACAAAACCGAACACTACGAGATCATTCTATCTTTTTCATGCGACAGAGATCCTTTTACTATCGCAATACAACAGAATATGGTCCTTTTCACGCTACCACCACAGTAACAAAATACACAACGGACAGCAAGGTTGGATTTCAACTTTCACTTAAAAATGTAGGCCTTTCAACACCGCAGATGAGCAAACAAAAATACCTTATCAAATTTGATAAGCACCGCTTCGATACAATAGTAAAAACTCTACAAGTTTGTACACTGTAATTTCTACTTACATGAGGGGCACAAGGCCCGCAGACCACGAGAAAAGCTGTTAGATGTTGCTCTTCGAGCCAGGCAATGGAGGACGAACGGGGGACGTAAAAGACTCCCACTTGGATATCACGTGACCGGAATTTCGTTCTCGACCACTTCCTACTTTCACTTCCGCCTTCCATAAATTTTATCTGAAGTAAATTTCTCGGTAATTCTTCGGAGGTCCATCGGAAATTCTTCGGAAACCCATCGGAAACACCTAGGATTTGGCTGTGCGAACCGGCAAAAGGGCTATGTCTGCTTTGTTTATTTGTTTGTTTTTAATTTTTGAATGGTTGTTGTTACGTCTCGATTTTGGTAGGCTAAAATTAATTATGAATCTCCCTTGACCTAGCCAATTGCTTTCCTCCATGCTGGTAATAAAAAAGTTGGTGGAATAATTCAGTTTTCAGCAATGGAAAGAACTATCAACAGAAATTTCATACAAAAGGCCTTCCAACTTATTTCATTCAAGTTTGTAATACTTTTGTGCTGTCTGACCCTCTAATTCCCAGAAGTGGTTAACATCTAACTTCTCCATATAATATTGATACATTACCCAGAAAACAGATAATGAGAATACTCAAACTTATCAGTTATAAGTTATTATCTTTACCTAACACCAAATTCTCATAACTAATTTTCAAGGAAATGCATTGCAGCTAGAGGAGAGAATCAATAATCAGTTCTTAGGAGTGACAGGGTTGAGGTCCTCTGGTCTTTTTTTTGCCACAATAGCTCAACTCACATATCCCTTCTAAATTTCTTTAAATTTGTGTTAATCCACACACTTGTCAGTTGGAAATCCTGTGGCCTGCCTAGGTGTTTTGTGGCATCGAACCCAATAGTGCAGTAAGAATCTAGATAGCAGATGTTTAGGAACCCCTACCCTAGGTTTTATCCATAAGCTAGGAATTCAAAAGGACAGTTTATTTCAGATCTGTTGATATCTGCACAAAAGAAACTTATAATTTTCCTGGTAGCTGCCTTTCTGCTTAAAAAATCCTCTGGATAAAGGATTATATGCCTGATCAAAACTGTAACAAAATTCTCTAACATGATTGATTGTCAAGAGCCTGATTTGGGCACTAATTGGACAGAGCATGTGTCATGCTTGCAATTGGACAGTTAAAGGAACAGTTAAAAATTTGATGTCTGTGTAAGTGCACAGAACACGTCATGTGGGTGCACTGCAGTCTTGCATTTTGCTGAATTAACCATTGTCTTTTTTTTTTTGGAGAGCATATAACAAATGTCTAGTTTTTTTCTCCAATTTTGTAATAGTTTTGATTAATTGGTAAAAGGACTTTGTGTTGTCCAATTCTGTCCGTAATCATACTCATGATTAACAAATTGGACCCCCACTTCGTGGTCATCCTTCATCACCATTCTCATTCACCTACGTGCAATCTCATTTTGCATACTGAAATTTGTGCCCCACCAAAAGGAGAATAACACCCTTTATCCCTTTTACTCCCAGAAAGGATCAACAACAATTTAGTATGTTACTTGGCAAATGGGAAGGGGAGACAGCCTTATTACCTGAATGGTGTTTTCTTAATATGATACCAACGCTTTTGTGTTCAGCATATAAAGGGGAATTCAATATGTGATAGAGTATAGCTCAATAAGATTCCAAATTTTCAAAACCCACTAGCAGCTGGAGGAAAAATCCCTTGAATGGCTCAATTCCCTTCCTTGTTCAAAAAGTTAGGTTCATTTGTTGATGTTAGCATACCAACAGCAGTCTCTTGAAAATAAGGCTTTATGTGACAAAAACTCCTGCCATGGGAAAAGTTTGGTTGACCCTCATCTGTAGCTCTCAAATAGCAATCTACTTGTCAAAATTCACCTTTTACTAAAACTTCAGTAACATAGCAGTACAGCCACTTTAATTTTGCAAAAGTTAAATGAAAAAAAAAAATTAGCTTTTTGTCTCTAAATATACACACATTTTATTGCACTATGTTGTTACCAATTAAGCAAAATACATATCCTAAATTAAACAAGGCATAAAAATAATTCTGAACATAAGGCAATAATCATAAAATGTTTTGAAATAAAATATTTACACCATTTTTGGTATGCAGTATTTACAAATGCTGAAGAATCTCATTGCATTCATACATCAGTGTATAAATTTGTAATTGTAGTAATAAAGATATTCTCACAATGGTCTGACACAAACAAATTTGTGTATTATAGTAAATTTCTAAGTTTCACAGAACTGTTTTAGAAATTGCATTTTTTTTTAATCATTTCATGATTATATCATCCTAATCTTGGTTGTTCAGAGACTAGATAACTCTATCCACTCAATAAATCACCACCCAATGAATAAGTATTTACAAAACATAATGTGGTGTCCACTGGATAGCAATTCACCCACTGGCTAAAGTTCTACAGCCTTCAAACAACCAGGTCCTAATCTACAATGTATAAACTTATGAATCACAAACTCTTAACAGTTTCTTCAAGATATAAAGTAGTAATTAAGTAAAGAGAAAATTCTTCTCATGAATGCAAAACAGTAAAGGATCTTGGGCCTATAAACTGAGACCATCAAATACTTTCAATAACTATGTCTGAAACAGATAAATTGATAAAATCAAAATTTAACACTAGTGATATATAGAATGATTGAAAAAAATGACTGAAAATGACCAAAGGGCAGAACTAAAATTTCAAAAAATCCAACCTGAATGATCACAACACTATTTTTTTTCTACACTTATTCTACACCTCTGCTATTACACTCAGAAACCATTGCTACCCAATAGATTTTGTGAAAGCTTACTGTGTTATGGCCAGTTACATTGGATGCCCACAGACATATGCTGACAATAAACTCATGTGAATTTACTAGGATACTGTGTTTGTTGACTGTGTTTCCTCCTCATGCTTCACTGGCTTATTCATTTCAGCAGAGTTGACATTCCTAATTTATTTCTGGTTTTAGTTTTCACAAGAGCCTAAGAGTTTAAAGGAATTTCTTGCTTCAGCAAATATTTGCCACTTTTGAGTTCACATTAATTCAACTTTCACTGCTTTTTAAGGTTCTTTGCACAGTGCTAAAATGGGAAGAAAAGGTTGGGAGTAGAGGGTGGTTTTGGATATTAAGTACATCAACAGACTCACACCTTCAAACAGAGGATGCCAAAGGGTTTTTATAACACAGCTAATAAATTCATCTAATCAAATTCAATTGCACGAGCATGCTTCATATTCCTATTGTGCATGCTCATGACGTCAGCAAACAAATCCCTTGAGAAAAAAAATTTTTCCATTGGGTGGAAAATGTTATAAAACAATAGGTTCATACATCAGCTGTGCTAGGCCTCAAGCAACTCTTACACAACTTTCATGCTCTCCAAGCTTCCCGCATGTTTCATATCTTGATGAACACATGCTGACATATGAACCAATTGTTAAACATATGATACATGATTAAGCCCACATAGATTTACCCTTTAACTCCCAGAAGTGATTGACATGTAACTTCTCCCAATAATATCTAAACATCATCCAGCACACAGGTCATGAGAATACTCAAACTTAGACAGGTAGAAGTTGATATCTTGATCTATCACCAAATTCTTGGAACTAATTTACAAGGGAATGAGTTGAAGATAGAAGGGAGAATTGACAATCAGATTTTGGGAGTTAAAGGATTAAAGTACAAGTGATGCATGAATTTCTATAAAAATTCAAGTGTGAAACAGGATTAGGAGCCCCCTATGCTACCAATCAAACATTGAGTACTTGAATTTCCAGCATCTTAAGTGTCCACCCTTGAAAGGCCTTCAATAAAAATAAATTGAGGAAAACTCAGCATCTAGGACCAAAATCACGCAGCAGATTTAACATTCTGTACAAAATGCTTAAATTCAAATAGTGCACGTGAGAGTTTGGCACAACAGATTCCAGAAGTTTCTCTCATCCTGCCTGAGGTAATCAAGGTAAGTAATGTGAGAAAGGGTTCGCGGAATACTGCATCTATAACCCTCATCAATGAGCACTGGTATAATTCGCTTCTCTTTGGCACCTGTGAAACAAAATAGATGAAACTGACTGTAAATATATGAAAATCATACATGTGAACTGTGGATAAAGAAATGAATATGAAAGTCATCTCACAGTTGTGAACACTACTTAAGCAGTACTGAAAATAAGGCCTGAAAAATATTCAGGCCTACTTTATGTTGTGTGGTGCAAAATCACAGAACAGTTATCAAGCAATAATCCCTGTTTAGGTCCATATTTGCCCAACAATTATTTCCATCCAAATGAAACAAAGCCAGTGGAAAAAACTGAACTCGAATGCTACTCCAGAAAGTACAAAAAAATTAGTTGTCAATGAAAATGAAGGAAGGGTTATAAAATTAACATAATCCTTCCAGCGAGCTGGTATGTCAGCTGTTAGTGTCCTTGGCTTAGAGATTGTCCTAAAAAGTTTCATATCTGCCCTTGAAGTTTCACTTCTCAGCCAAATATTCATTTTTCAGACAATTTCCCTGTAGCAGACATTATTGGCCAAAATACCAGCCACCTGAAGTGGATTATTAACAACATATTCAGAAAGGAAAACCAAAAACTAAAGTTATCAGAGCAGCCAATTATTGATATAACAGTAAATTTCAGAGTCACTTTGTTATGACCTAAAACAGTACACAGTCACAATAATGAACATCAGAGAAAGTAAAGTCAGGATTATATCTATTTTGTCATCTGACTGGCTCAGAAATGGAGGGAGTTCTATCTTCATATTGATCACAGAGTTTCACAACTCACAGATCTCAATAACAACAATATTTACTGAGTACAATACTGCCTTTTTTTTTGTTACTCTTAGCTCTGAGAATTTTGTGCTAAATCACACAATTTATCCTAGTTAACATCACAATTGCTCTTCCTTCTTGTAATCTTTTTGTTTTAAAATGCAATTATCTTGAAAGGAAAAATTCTATTGGGTTCATTCTTAGGTGGGAAAGGGTTTACACCTATTGGTTGATGTTTGCTTTTACTATCAAAAATATTTAATAAACAAATCAATATTTTACTAACCTGGTGCAAGACTCGTGGCAATTTGTGCCTGGTATATGGCTCCTTGGCTATTTTCATAATTTTGCGACAGGATCACAATAAATTTGTTACATCTTCGCTCAATTGCCAAAGCAGTTGTTTCAAGATGAGAGCCAACTGGTAAAAAGTCCCGCTCAGGCCAACAGAGGTGTAGATTACGTTTATTTTCCATTTTCTTGACAAGTTTGTCCACAAAAGGTTTGTCTTCGTCAGCAAAGCAGACAAATGCATGATAAAAAGTTTTAACTATGAAAATAAAACACCACATCATTAACTGGGTATAACTATACTGAACTGGTAAAGGAAATTACACTGCTAGGTGACTTTTGATGCCACTTCAAATTCTCCATGTATATCCCAAAGAAATACAATAAAATTTTAAATGAGAATCTAGCAGTCCCTTAGAGGTCACTTTGAGCTTTTTTTCTACACATCCCTCTAAAATGTATCTCGCTTGTTGTGTAAACAGGGAAGATTTTGGAAGAGCAATATTTGAGTCAAATCAACGGATGTGAGGATCATACTAGTTACACACCTTGAGGTTGAAAACATCTACAATGTAACATTTCACATGCTGAGATGATTATAAAAATTTACAACTTTATATGTATTAGAGAAAGATGTTTTTTCATCTTGTCATGAGTGTGGGACAAAGAAAAAAGTCTGAGTCCTTATGAGGAATTGAACCTCAAACCTTTGGATTCCGCGCTCCGATGCTCTACCACTGGGTCACAGAGACTCCGTGGTGGGCGAGGTCTACTACAAAGTTCATATGACATGTGCCCTGCATACTGCTAGGATCAGCAATGCCGATAGTGTAATGTTTGTAGATAGAATAGGAGAGATGGTAAGTTTTAAGCTCAAAACTTGCCATCTCTCTTATTTCTATCCACAAATTTATATGTATTCTCTGCCAAAAAATGAAGAAATTGCACTAAATTCTACAAAATTACGTCACAAAGATCACTGGATCATTGTTTAGTATAGCATAGTGAGTATAATGAGGCGATTTGTATGTAAACCATAAACACAACTTTCCTCGCCTCTAACAAAAATAATCTTTCGACTTACCTGTCCTCTGTACAACATTGGTATCTACAAAAAAAGACAACAGACAAAAATGTACAGTTTGCAAAGATCAGATCAAAATTTTAATGGATGGCATTGAGGACATGAATCAAAAGAGCTCTTTGCCAATGTATACAAATGTAGCTTATAAAAAATTCAAGCCTTGGGAGACAACAGATTGTGAATGTTAGTCATGCAACAATAGTTTTCACCTTATGCACAATGACACCATTTCATGAAAATTCACCACTAAAACTCAATGACACAAGATGTTTTCACGTACAAATTTCTTGAGATTTCATTGTTTTAGGAATACTTTCTTTCCGATCCACAATAATTCTCAACCCTAAAAGCAAGGCTTAGGGCTGAAATACCAACCTAAACACAAGCAAAAGGCCTTCTTCTATCTAATGACATAAATACGTACTGGTCAGATGCATTCGCTCTTGTATCTCCCTTGGAGTAAGTGTTGAATCTGAAAATACAGGAGTAAGCAGAATAAAAAACAGTAGGTGGATGATCAGGGAATTATTCTTTAGTAAAAAGGAAACTAAGCAATAAAACAATCATGTATTTTTTTTTTAAAGTATCTCAATTTTTTCCTTCAAGCAAGAGAGCCACAAATTTGCTCTCCCTAGAAAAGTAAGTGGTACCGAAAATGGTCTCCATTCTTTCTGCTACATTACAATACAAACTCTGCTGCTGCAGAAACATGCTCTGTGGCATAGACTAGCATACTTTTTAAACAAAAAAAACTTTTAAATACAATTTGAAATTAAATGTCAATTAAATGAATGTGTAACAAGATTTAAAAGTATACAGAACCATCACTACAGTTTTGTGTTAAGGTATTTTACCTTAAATTACATTTTTTTAATAAATGGACAACAAACACACTACTATAGGGATAAATTTCTGTAATAATTGGAGATGTAATAAGTTTCAATTTTAAAGCAACACAAGGTGATATGAAAGACTCTGGACCTTTGAACCTATCTAGAACCAAGAGTCAGCTCAATCCTCATACAATGTTGGGTGTAGGAATTAAGCCCAGGTCACAGCCATGGGAGGAAAGTGCTCTCACCACTGTACCATCTCCACTCCCTCACACAGCATATGGTATTTAATATCTGGCATTTAATGACTTGAAATCAAATAATTTAGAATTGAACATGTAGTTAATGGAGATTACTCCATGGAAAGTACACAAGTATAATTTTTATTCATGAGTTGCAATGCATCAAAAAAATCCAATGAGTGAGTGCAGCAAATGAGTGAGTTTTTGATGCATGGCAATAAAAATTGTTCAAGCACTTTCCATAATATGATGTTTTTATTCCATACATACAAAGATTTTTTCTTAATAACCAACACATTTCAAGCAGGGCTAAAAATTGGCGGTCGCACGGTCGCCAGTGGCGAGTTAAAACTGACCAGGCCCACCAAAAATTAAGGTTTGAACGCCTGATGTACTACTATACTACAGAATTTAGAAAAGTTGCGATGTAAATTATGCAAAGTACAAAGTTAAAAATAGAACTCAATATGTGATTTAATTGGACTACCTTTCTCTTTGTTTCTTTGCCTGGACTCTAAGATCATCCATTTTAGTGAATTTCTAGTTCTGAAGTGGAAATTCCCAGCTGTTTTAACAGTGATTTCACAAGCGATCCACATTCACAGCTCATAGACACCATTTTGATTTTGTGATTGCCACACGACTCTGGATTTTTGTGTTCTTTCCTTTTAATTTATGCACCATTAAAAACCATGGGGCATTTATTCAAGTTTTTCATTTTAAACTAGAGGAAATCAAGGGCATCTTCATTTTGGGATGGGCCACTTGGAATTCAAGGAAACTGGCCTGACTGGCCACCAAGCACTGGAGTTAATTTTTAGCCCTGGTGAAGTATGATGGTTTGCATCTCTGATTGACAAACAATGTGTAAATCTCAGCAGGTATGAAATAAGAATCAATGTTAGCATTTAACGCAAGTTATGTCCTCCATAACAATTTTATTCCCTACCTATATATGGCTGAAGGTCCTGTACTACATCTGGTCTGTCTATTTGCTGTAAAAGTGATACCAGTTCTGCAATTGTTCTCCTCCCTGTATCATATTTTATCATCAATTCTTTCACAGGTTCATGTGAACTTTCAAGATGCTTAATATCTTCATTTGTATATCCCATTTTTGCAGCCAATAACCGGTAATCATTTCCAAGTGGACATGATGGTTGCAAAAGAACAACCAACCGTTCATGACCTTTCGTACACATATCTTTCAGGAGCTTTTCCTCAGTGGCTAGGGGTGTATCTCCATCTAACGGAAGAGCAACAGTATCACAGAGTGGAATATCATGATCAGATGGAAGATCAACATCACCTCTTTCAGGTGAAACAACATCATCTGCAGGCAACAAAAAACAATCTTAGTGTGAAACTCCACAGGAGAGCAGTGCATTGCTTTTTTAACTATTGACAAACACACCTAAAATGCTTTCTTGAAAGCTACAGCAACTAAATTTTGAATAAAGTGATGCCACGTAAAAATAGCACATAGAACTTTTTGGAATACAAGTAATTGTCTACCTAAACTTGTTGGAGACATTTGAGCTTGAGAGATCAATTTCAAGAACTGGTAAATAACCTTGGAAGATACAAATTCCTTGTAAATTTGTACAGTCAAACCTCAACTGTCCAGACTTTTCTTTTATCCAGACTTGCTTTTCTGATCCCATTAGCTTTAAACATGTATATTCATATTTTTTATTACCGAGACTCTTGATTATCCAGATTATTAAATCTAGTCCCCATGAGTCTGGATAATTAAGTATGTAAATCAATGTGACATAAAAAGAGTACAAAGAACTTAAAGGACCAATTATCTAATTCTAAATCTGGGTCCTGGTGTTCAAAGGACAGATAATGCTATCCAATAGATATGTCCCTATCAAGTGAATAAGTGTAACAAAACATACTGCACTTTCCACTGGATAGAGATCTACATGTATACAATGGATAGCATCGTCCACTGTTCAAACAACCCGGGCCTGGTGAAGACTTTCAAATGTGAGAGATAAACTGTTTGTACTCATAAATAACACAACATATGAGTTAAGCACACATTGTTCTCCAATACATGGATTATTAAGTAGGATACTTCAACATGACTTCAACAACTATTTAGAAGTTCACTAACCTAATACAGTTGAACCAACTGTATGGCCTGTGTCATCTGACTTGTTACTCTTACTGCTCTTTTCCTCTGACTGTCGTCCCCATGTGAAAAGTTTCTTAGCCTTGTCTTTGATTCTTTTACACTTACACTTCGCCTTGGTCTGTTCCATTCTACAATTTCAAAATGTCAAAAATTAAAGGCGTAGAGCAATGCAAGGGGTGTAAATAGGAAGGGGTTCTGGGATGCCTTATTCCAACTGTGTCACTATCTTTGATTCCTTTTACTTTTGAATGATATACAGCGAGACTAATAAAAAGCATATCAAGATAAAAGAACTTAAACCCAACTATACAGCTATTTTGTAGACCTGTTCCAAGAGTTTGTTCAAAAAGTGCCAGTTGGGGTATAGAGGCCATTTTAGATCCAATGACATACAGCTTGGTTTCCACTACAATTATCACACAATAGCCCCTTTATTTGCAGGAGTCAATGAGAATCATGGTAACCGTAAACTGTCCCACTATCCCAACATGGCAGAGAGTACAAAATTCCTTTCTTAAAATAGCAGAAATCTGTTTTGATTTTATACTTCACTAATATTTCATTCCCATTTCTGCCAATAAATTTTAACTGTAAACATCATTTGTGATTTTGTAAAAAAGGTTGTGGTTATTCATTGTGGCGGACAACAATAAAAGCTAAGTTTTTTTGTTTGTTTCACCTGACTGAGAACTGAGTGAAACAGTAAGGATCGAAATGGACCAATCAGAGCTGTTGAAAAACAACTAATCACAGCAGAGCATCATGCTTATAAGATCACGCATGATCAGTCGACCTCATTGCCTGAAGATGACCACAGTATGCAGTCGCAATGTCGCGATCTATATCACATGTGAGTACATCATGAGACAAAAAAAAAACTTAGCTTTCATTTGTGATTGTTTGACAACAATTTGTTCCACCATTGGAGGTTTGTTTACCGTAGTTTCTCAGTTATAAGGTGTACTCGGTTATAAGACGCACCCCAAACTTAGCAACTTAGTCAAGCCAAGTTCTCATAAATTGAAAATTATGTGAAAATACTCGGTTATAAGACGCACCAAAAGGTTGTGAGTTAACAAAAGGATGTAATGGAACTGAGAACAATTATCCCTACACAACTGGTATGCAAACTCTTTTGTTAATGTAAATAAAAGTGAAAAAGTCTCACATTTAATGATCTACATAAAAACCAAGAAAATTTCTCACCTGTAATGAGAAACATTAAACACATGCTTGTTTATTTCAGCCTTCCTGCTTAGGAAACATGCTTCTATTTCCAAATTAAATAATAAATATTCAATGACCCAATTTCATTCTATTAAACATCAACTGACTGATTTATAACTCAGTTGCAAAACTAATTGATACATTCTCATCATAAACAGTCAAACTTAAACTCAAAGTTAAACTTCAACTTCTTGTTCGGTCGCAAATATGCCAAGCACTCGCCATCACTCACATGACCTCAACTTCAAGTTGAAAATCATTGCCGAAGCCGAGGCATTCAACAAAAATTGTGAAATTGCCCATGAATACAGCATTTCAGAATCCATGGTGAGAAAATGATGCAACCAGCAACATGTCCTTTTTCTGGTGAGCTGCGGATGACAGCAAAGTGTGTATCCATGTAATGCTACCAACTGAAGGACCCGAGTTGGATATTATATTACTGAGCAGGTGCTGTTACGCACGTATGCAAATTTCTGTTTGTTTCCTTTTCTACAAAAGTTGATTAATGTTCTAAAAGCAGTATTTTCTTTTTGATTCATTGGAATAAAGGATTGAATTCGACGCAATCTTCACTACACCTCAGACCAAAAAGCTCTGCTTTTTCTGCTTATCCTCTCAACAATTAGTGTCCTTTTCTTTTCTTTTTAACTGTAAGTTCTGCTAAAATTGTGATCTCAAGATTTTAATGTGCAAAAATACTTGGCTATAAGACACACCTCAATTTCAGCATTAACTTTCCAAATAAGGACAGAATTTTCTTGGAAAAACCGTGCACCTTTTATCCGAGAAACTACAGTAACCTTACAGTTATATTTCAATCAATATTGCTTAATTTTTGTTAATAAACAACTAACTTTACTGACAATTTACAAACAGACAAAGACCTTAGTAACAGTAAGATAACAAAATTGTACTCAACACGAAAGGGTTAAAGTTGAAGTACTTCCCATCTGCTTTACGCTATCTGTACACTAATTAATAAACAGTTTGCATTCACAATGTATAGGACATTTCACACTATCTACCTACTAATCTCATTTAAGAAATACAAGAATGCCCCATCAAAATCTGGATAACCCCTACAACAAACCTTGAATTTGGTTTAAAAATCATGATTGACTCCATATTAACATTCAAATCGCTATTTAAAACATGCATAATTCCTGTTGAATGTTAAGCTTATGACCTTCACTGCAACGTTGAAATTCAGTTCCACAAGATTAACTAAAGCACTGTTTAAAAGTTTCACACACTTTAGTATCAGCTGTTTAAAAGTCGAACCTTTCAGAAGATAATTTTTTTCCACAGAGTGTTGCACAGTTCTTAAAATTTACATGAGAAGGTTAATCGTAACAGGCGACATCTCCGACTAGCAATGTTCCTTGGCCGAGCAATGCCAAAACATTTGGTGTACTGTCCGCTGCAATTTCGGGGGAAATACATTCAACCGTTGATACCAAGAAATACTTTCCGTTGCTTATAAATAAACATTAAATTTCTGTTTCGAAGTTTAAAATTCTTGTCCTAAGCTTTACAGCGACAAGGAAAAGTACAGGCCGATCGAAGACCAGACATAAATAATCTACGTTTCACTGTCACTGTATAAACTAAATCGGAATCATAAATTGTAGTTTTGATGCACTGCACGACACTTCCATTTCGACTGAGTTTTCTGACAAAGGATCTCTCTAAAACGTCCTAGACTTCCGTTCATTGTGTATCTACTTTAAGTGATCAATACCACAAACAAAATTGCAATGAGTTAATGCAAGGATGTAAGATAAGGAAACAACATGGCCGTCTAATGCGCTTTTACATATTTAGTGAAATTGCTTAAGTACTTAGAGAGAGTACTGTGGCTGTATTAGAATACACTAACTTACTTGAAGGACGTAGATGCGGTGAACCAAAAGAGCTTTGAGACCACACCAGACAGGCTTCAACAAAACTCAACGAAAGGAATTTCCTAACATCACGTCCTTTTCCGTCAACATCACGTGTTGTTGTGACCGCATTACGTCAAAGGTCCAAAGCAAGGCCTAATTCCTGCTTCTTCTCGGAAAGAGCCTGGACACTTGTTATTTGAATAAGATGCCATTTCTGGCTGTAGAAACACCTATCTTTCGATGAATTAGCTTCTTTTTCTCACGCATTTTGATAGGTTCTTGTTAATGATCTATTACAGGACGGACGCATAGATGACGTCACCACCTACAACGTTTTGCTTTTTTTTTTAATCATTAATTAAAAAATAGATTCCATGTGGTCGTAGGTCTGTCAAAATGTTGTAACAACAGAAAAGTAGCATACGAGGCGCAGCACTTATTTATTCTTACCACATTTTGATGCTATCTATGATTTATTTCTGAGCAGACGAATGGCAACATGGAATCCACATGCTAAATTTATATCAATTAGGCACATTTTTCTCTTTTGGGTTTTTCAAACCAAGACAAGCACGACCCAGATTCTTTTCCCCATTTTGAGTTTGCACCACCTCGAGAGAGAAGCAAATTGCCAGCAGTCCACGTTTAACAGAGGCTGCTTTCGCAAATTTTTGGAAAAACGTTCAAGTTCCTTCAAAGTGTATTGAAACTTTATGAGAGGATCCAGTGAGTGTAGCAGGATATTGCTGTCGTGATATCATTGTCTCAACATACATTGGTCTTGCGAACTGTGCTTAAATTTGATGTTGCCACTCAGTACTGGGAAGATGATTTTTGCCAAGTATGTGCCAGTGGCCTCTCAGAACCCGTTCCCTGTATAAGTCTATTCTTTGGCGTATTATAGACCCTATCTCAATCATTCTTAACAAATTTGGTTACAAATATTTACCTGTGAATCTTCTAATTTTTTAATCATTACTTACCTTGATCTCCTTATCCCCTAATTCTTGAAAATGTTCAATACCTCTCCAGGAACTCTATTTGGAGTTCAACCTTACTATAGTCAATTGTGAAAATGCTATCACATTCAGCAGCAAAATCCCATCAACCCATTACTAGGAAGTAACTGCCCCTACTCTAGGCAAAAACCCCATCCTGGCCTCAGAATAGACTTGAAAAAAGCTTTGAAAGGCTGGAAACAAGAATTCTTTCTAACTTTAATACTTTCAGCTATTACACCAAACAAAGATAAAATGAAACAAAATCACTTTCCAATATTAAAAAAATTCATGGTTGTACACTATAAAAACTATAAGTTAATGTCAGATGTTACATTTTAAGAAAACTAGGACTTCACTTGCTAGGGTTATTTTTCATGTCATGTTATCAAATTTTAACACATTCCACACAAAACATGTCGCACAGAAGTTAAAAATATAATTAAAAATTTACTTCTATAATACTTATTTACAATATCCTAGGCTCATTGTCTACATTTCCAAAACCAAAAATGAGACTAACAGCATTGACAGAAAACTTTTTTATATTCTACATATTTGTTATATTTTTAAGTTGAACAAAGCCTCTTCAACAAGGGCCTATTTCTTCTACAGCTAAGTGGCTGATAAAATGATTCCTAAAATTTCCACACAGACTGAAACTTTTTCCAGTTAAAGGATTATTTCAAACTCTAAACACATTTTACTGAAAATGTTTCTGGCTTCATTCTCTGTAGAGGGTTTGAATCCTATTTACAATTCTTCATATACATATAGGAAATGGTAACATCATCAAGAATCATTATAACATCTACAGATACCTGTTAAAGGTCATTAAATAACCATATGAGAATAAGAGAGGTGGTTAATTTTGGATGCAGTAAAGAGATAGTGAAAGATATTTTTTCATCTGGCCATGAGCACAGGACATTTCTTTCACAATTACAGCATGATGAACAGATATCAGGTACTTTATAAACATTAGCCATGTAACAAATTCTTATCAAACTATGAAACTACCTGCACATTTTAACTGAGATCAGATAAAATACTTTGTCAAAAATATTTATCATTAACTCCATATGTTATCACCATATAGATTTTCTTTTGAAGACTTGGCATCCTTAAACCAGAGTCAAATGAGGTCGAGAGCAAAGTCAGTAATTACAGTTTCAAAAGCATATTAGCCCATCACTTTTTTCCATTGTATGCACATCCATTGCTACAACCAAGTGCCTTGGTCAACAAATTCCAAAAATGCTGTCTTGCCTCTTTGCTTGTGTAGTCCAAGTGTGTGATGAACTTTAAAATTGTTGGTATTTCACAAGGTTTGTACAAAATTGGTATCAGATTGGTGTGCCTGACATCTGAGAAAAGGGAATTTTATAAGCACAACGCAAATAGGACAAACTTGTTTCTAAAAATAACCAATGCACAAATCTCATTTTAAAAATGTGTTATAAATCAAAAGGTGTTGTTCTTATAAAATAGTTTTAATAAAACAGCTTGCTTTTAGTTTTGTTTAACAGAAAGCCACATGCTTTGTTGCCCTCCACTGTGAAGTACCACTGTCTATATCACAGTCATTTGCTTTCCTGATTGGCTGTGAATTTGCACCAATTTTAGCAGGGTTTCTTTTAATGTGTAAATCTCAGTATGTATAAAATAAATTATTTCTTTGTCAAAAGAAACATACTATCTTCTTTCCCCTGAAACATTTTGCACCTTGGACCATCAAAGCACTGCAACTTTGTCATCACAACTTTATCTTCTTTAACTGTTAAACTCTTGAGGTGATTTAACCATCCTTAAATTATCAAAACTTAAATGTGATGTCTTGCAAATATGTAGGGGAATTCTTTTTAAATCCCAGAAGTAATTAACATATAACTTCTCCCTATAATATCCATACATTAATCCATAAACAGGTAATGAGAATATTTAAACTTATCATCTAGAAGTTGTGATCTTGATCTAACAACAAATTCGTGTTACTAAGTTACAAGGAAATGTGTAGCAGGTAGAGGGGGAAATTAACAGTCGTATCTTGGGAGTTAAAACCAAATCCTCTTGACTAATTGACAAAAAATAAATGGCATGTGCAAGAGAAAGTTACTCATCTGATAATGATCTTTCAAATACACTTTTTAGGTCAAGAAAAAATTAAACCTTATAACTCCCATGAGTGATCAAGACGGAATTTCAACTCACAGTATTGATACAAAATCAAGCAGACAAGTGATGAGAAAAGAAAAAAATAAGAAAAATATAAGTTAGGTAATCAGTAATTGATCCAATACCAAATTCTCTGAACTATCATCATAAGAACTGTATCGAAGATGGTAAGGAGAATTACTAAATGATATCTTGGTCCAGTGAAAGGGTTAAGAAGTCACACAAGAGACACAAACCTGCTGACAAGCTTAGCGCAACGTTGGCTTGGAAATCAGCTCTTTCACATCTGTTAAAGTTCTCTGACAAGATAAGCAAGACTTTTCTGCAGTATTTCTCAATGGCCTGGGCCGCAGCTGCTGAAGGATCATTGCCACGCAAAAAATCCCGGTAATCAATACAAACTTTTAAGTTATAGGGTGGTCCCTCCAGTTTCTTGACAAGTTCATCAGCAAATGGTCTGTCAGGTTGGGCATATGCGATAAACACATCATATCTGTCAGACACTGACAAAAATAAATCCATTAATAGTGATAACAAGGGGATTCATTATTCCCTGGACCAATCATAATTTCAATCAAAAAAAAATGTAACCCTTAAACTATCATGATAATTTGAGGTGAGCTGATGAAAGCTTTAAGGGAGATGACTTCCCTCCTCTAGATTATGTTCATTTCAACAATCTGCTGTCTCTAACATTTTTTTCCGGTTAAGAAGTTTAATCCAATTATGTGCCCCAACAAAAAGTTTATACCGACAAAGACAAGAAGTATCAAATTTCTTGAACTTACTGGTTTTAGGCTTTTCCGCTGAAATAAATAAGAAATTTCACATTAATTGACAATGACCGCTTTGTGTACAAATGATTTTTAATTAAAAAGAGGCTCAGTGCCTGAGGGACATTTGTAATTATTAATATCTGATAGTGAGCTAAGATTTGATGTAACTTTCTATGATGTGGATTTGAAGTCAATGGCTTGTGAGTTTGGTTTTGCATGTTAATATGTTTTTTAATTGATTTCCTTCACTCTATCTGTTTTATTCATTGATCTTTGAGAGTTTAGCCTAAAAGCGGTAAGATTTTGTATTCAAGAATTTTCTTTTCAATCGGAGAACACATTTTAGCCCTTTGACTCTGTAGGAGTGACTAGCATCAAATTCAGCAGGTAATTAAGTGTTAACAACTGAGTTAAAAGCGTTTCGAGCATTAGCCTTTCATCAGAGCGATAGACAAAGGGCTAATGCTTGAAAAGTCAGCTTTTTTGCCCTTTACGGTGGCTAATTTATGTTTTTTAACTCAGTTATTGACACTTAATTGCCTGCTATACTCTCCCACTGACACAGCACCACAGTTTCTTTAGAAACTTACCCCTTTATTCATTTAAAATCAAATTTATCCTGACAAAATCACCCCTGAATCACACATTAAGTTCACACAGAAAAAGGCAATGATCACCAAACAATGAAACTCTTGATTAGTAAACAAATTCTCCTTGTCAACACTTCAGGAAATGCAGAGAGAATAGTATGGAGAATATAGAGTGTCAAGGGTTAACCCTTTAACTCCCAGCAGTGATTCACATGTAACTTCTCCCTACAATATCCAACCACTATCCAGCAAACAGGTAATGAGAATAATCAAATGTATCAGGTAGGAGTTGTTATCTTGATCTAACACCAAATTCTTGCAACTAATTTACAAGGAAATGTGTAGCAGCTAGAGGGGAGAATTAACAATCAGATCCTGGGAGTTAAAGGGCTAAAGTAAATATGAATTACAATCATTATTGCTTTTTTTTTTTTTTTTTTTTTTTAAAGATGTATTTTTTTATTTGATATCTGGTATTGGGGGCTATGTTCCAACAGACAAGAAATCAATAACTGAAACATTTTGATAAATAAATGAATATAAAAAGAGTTTACCAGCTTGTCCTTGCATCTTCTCGAATTCCAGCCTTTTCCTTTGCTCTACCTCTTCTCGAGTGGGTGTCTCCTCTAGCCCAAAAAAACACCAACAACAACAACTTTATTAGTCTCTTGAAAGTAAACTTGAGTAGAAGTATCCTGTGGAAAAGAAGATATTCATTTCTTCGCAGTTACAGATTACAGATTACAGCTGAGATGGATTTTGAGATTTCAAGGAGAAATAAAACCTTTTGCAAAATGTCTTTGAACATGCTAAAAATCTGATTGAGGATATCACTATTCTGCTTTCAGAGCCAAATGGAAGAACTCAGCCAACAATCATCTTTTTATTTTGTATATGTTTAAGTGGTATAAATTTCAAAATTATGCTTGAACCTAAATATTATGCAATCACATTCTTATGAAGGGTACATAATGGACAACTAAGACTCCACACTGAAACTTTCCCTTCGTTAAAAAATGTGCCTTTTTTCTCATTTCCCTTTTATTTCATGCTGATGTCCACAATCATAATTTACATTCTCAGAAATTAAACAGAACTGTATGAGTGCAGGGACCAGATGGCTTTTTCTACACTTCTTATCATATACCACACAGCCCTAATCAAAGCATCTTTCTTTATGGTTCTCTATAGGATTGTGTGAGGCATGTTATATGAGTCACATGTGAAAGCTCTTAGTCCTAAGATCTGATTGTTTATTCTTCCTCTTGCTCCTTCACATTTCCTTGTGAATCAGTTATGAGAATTGGGTGTTAAAACAAGACAACAATTTCTACCTGATAAGTTTGAGTATTCTCTCACTTGTTTGCTAGATAATGAAGGGATGTAATAAGGAGAAGTTACATGTTAATCATTTCTGGGGGTTAGAGGGATGATGGAGTTTCTCAATAACCTTAGGGTGGAGAAGCCTGAGGTTTTTAAGGTTCAAACATACTACAGAACAAGGTTCAGCAGTCCCAGGCATGATCTACCTCCAACAAAGAACTTGAGGTAGTCCTTTACTTAACCTTAAAAAGGTAAACACAGTGAACAGGGTGTTGTTTTAAAGGTCTTGATTAGCCCCCAAGCAGGATACCCTTCTGGAAAGTCTGTAATAAAGCGTCATTCTGGCATTGTACAGTCTAATCGATTTAATAGCCTGTATTGTTCCAGACATAATTTAGAAGCTTGCATGTACCAATAACCACGATGTATTTGAAAGGCTAAAAATATGATAAAAGGTTGCATTTTTCTCCTGGGTTGTAAAGATCTTGATCAAAAGCACAAGGTTATCCAGTTTACAGTGTACTAAGGAAGCGATAAATCTGTGTCCTGATCAATTCACTTCCTCTAAACTTGTTCAAATTTAGCAGATGTCGACATTTCGATATTTTTACGTGCAAACTCCAAGACACATCTCTGGTGTCCTTACTAATACTTAGAAAGAGAAAAACCCGGTCAACTATTGCTTATTTTCATAACTAACTTAACCTAAAAGGACAGAATTCGGTGAAATCTGAACTATCTCCGAGAAACGACAAACGAACCGTAATAGTGAAGGTAACCCATGGCATCGGCGTACGAAAGTTCAGAGTGTATTGTAGGGTGGAATTGGGTTACGATATAAAAACTGAAATAAAATCTGTAGTTTCGTGCGGCGCTCCGTAGTTGCTTCACCAAATATATCTCGTTAAACATATAGTGTATCGAATCAAATCACTAAACTCGAAGTGTTTAAGTTGATTCATAAAGGAGTTCTCCTCTTTAGCCTTACCTACGTATTTTTCGAGGTCTGTAACCAAATCGATCCTCTCCATTTCTTCTAGAAACGTTAACAACTCTGAGATGGGCTTTCCCTTGCTCTCATAATCAGAAATCAACTCTTTCACAGGGTTATTCAAACATTCGTAATACAAGATTGTTTCCTGTGTATAACCCATCTTGTCAGCCAAAGTCTTCCAATCTCTTCCAGGAGCCGGTGGTAACAGAAGTTTATATATTAGAAAATGAGCTTCGTAGCTCAAATCTTTCACCAACTTTTCACCGCTCATGATTCCAATCAGTGGAGACAAACTCAGTCCATCCACAGCTCACTGAAATGGCAGAAGCGCCATTGCAGGGATCGTTAGGTAAATTAGAAAATGCCACGCGCGATTACGCACTTCGCGAATGTGTTACTTCGCGTGGGGTCTGCGCATCGTATGTGTTTGCCGTTTACTTCCCCTTCCTGTGCTCTTTAGGAGCGAACTTCCTTAACCAACAACAGGAAGCCACAAAACAAAACGGAAGGCTGAGACTTTTTAAAGAATCGCCTGCCCCAGTGATCTAGAAACTACTGAATTCAGCTCCAGATCTTTCTAATCCAAGGTGAAAGGTGAAAGTAAAAGCTCATCGAGATCCTGGGATCTCCGAGATGCATTCGAAATTCGATTGATAAAGAAGAAAAATTTGTCTTCAATATCAGAGGCTATGAAGAATAAAAAACTTTAAAACCTCAATTGTGACCTTTTAACATGTCTCCATCCCATTTCGGGTAAACAAAAGGATATTTAGTGTTACTGAGGGGCTTTTCAGCTATCAAACTCGCCCGGCTCAGAACACAACTAAGAAGAAATCCAATCAAGGTAATTTAATCTACAAACAATATTTAAACGGAAGCGTTCAAGTTTACACAAATTCTTATTCTTTGCACTGTGAATTCAAACTATTTGGTGTCCAGTGATCCTATTTGACAGTCATATCCGGGCTCTTACTAGGAGTGGAAGGCAGGTTATAATTTAAGAGAAATGTAGTTCCTCAACATATGACTTAACATCGGAGTTGTGGGGGAGGCCCCAAACTAATTCCCCTCTCTTTCCCCCCAGGGGTAAGCTAAATTGTTCTACCATAACCTTTTCTTGAGACAGAGACAAAGAGAGAGTGGGAAGCGTAACATTTACCTCAGGGGCCTTCCTTGGCCTTACCTTCGACCCCACCCCTCTGCCAAACACGGAAAAGTAGTAACTCATCACCTTCATGTTCAAATTAATTTTTTTTCGAGTTTATAAGAATGATAAATAGAGAGACCAGCTTAGAAGTTACAATATATTACTTTTTATTTCCCAAGTCTTATATCATGTTACCGTTTCATTTCAATTTTCATGACCTTTTTTTTTTTCTTCTGAGTTAAAGCAACGTAAATATTCACGAAACATCGCATTAATTCTTAATGACCACGACCGAAAAGAAGCTGAACTTTTCATTGACGGAGGTCACAAAACGCAAAAATGAAGCTTTGTTTCTCACACGTGAAATATAAGCTACATAAAAGCTTCTCTGAACACAACGCTTGTCTTTCAAAATCACTCTAGTCACATTTTCAACGGTGGAAATAGTAAACATGAATACCACTTTCCGGGACAACATGTCTTCTTTCATTCGTTGTAATGCGCATGTCTGGCTTTCGACGAATGTCTGGTGCGTTTTCAGGAAACTGCTCGTGAAATCTTCGACGAGCTTCAGTTTTACTCCAGCGGTCTTGCAAATCCAAAAGTGCTGTACTAGGCCTATGATTCTCTCCAAGCTTGGCTGATCGGAACCACTTTGGGTACAAGTCGCTACTGGTCGAACCTGTCTTCGTTTGCTCGGGAATTTGACTTGGCATGTTATTCAGTATGGGGGGAGCTGATCGCTTGACACTCTCAGGGGCGGTGACAGGTCGTGCAAGCTCACTGAAATACTTCGAATTCTCATTATTTGTAATGGAAGAGTAATATAAATGGGGATGAGCACGAGCGAAAGCATGCACGTCGGAATATTCCCCGCTAGGATTAATCAAGCTATTCTGCAAATATCCATCGCTGAATTTGGGACCAGTGGTCAAATCTAAGATTTCTCCCTTTACAAAGCAATTTCCGTGAGTCTTTTTGATAGACTTTTCCCGAGCTTCTTCTTCTCCCTCGTCTTCACTGTCTGTCATCCACAGTTCGGTGCCATGGCCTACAACGACTTTTTTCTTTCTCTTGGTTTTCTTTCTGACGTCAGTGTGGCGTCCCTCCAGAACCCGCGGTGGGGCGAATTCATTCCTGAAATGCTCTCTCTGTTTAAAAAGAGGTAAAGGTTATGACAGTCAGATTAGATCAGCAATTAAAAAACAATTTTTTAGCAACCATACCTCCAAAAGGCGATTAACTAAACTTATACTTGCATTATCAATTCATTACTGAGCAAAATAATGGTGAGCATAGATCACCTTACCAACTTGGACTATGCTGATTTAACCCTCAAATTCTCTCAACCAATTTACGAGAAAACGTGTAGGAAGAATAGAGAATTGGTAGAAGGATCTTGGACAAAACAGAAGATGCGATTTACGAAATTGGTAAATAAATCTTATTTCCCACATCCACATTCTCAGTGGAAGGGGGGGGGGGGGAGGGTGTGAGATTTCCTATCCTAGATATACAAAAAAACATAAGAGCGAAAAGAAAAAACCACGCTTAGAACTTACCAAGGTGTCACTCTCCCCTTTAAAAACCTCGTCGAAATTATCCAATTTAAGGATATTCTGTGGTCCGTTGCCTGTAAACTGCTGTTGGTAATGTGTTTGCCAGAAGCTCCGCTGAACATTGTACAAGGCGTTCGCAGTCCGGGGGGTTACTGCCAGGGATGAATCTCTTTCGGGGGTGTTTGGCACTACTGAAGTAGGAGGTACGGGGTAGTAGACTTGTCTCTTTAATTCCGGGCCCTTGACCAACTTTTAAATAGGAGGAAGAGAACGAAAGAACGAACAAAAGATGACTAATAAGAAACCACGTAAATACTGTTTGAATCGTTCAAAAACACCAAGGCTGTGACTATGCCGCCTGCATTTCTAAGACCAAATTCAAAATCCTACTCACTCTCACCCAATAAACGACAAATCACACAGTCTTGGTTACAAAGCAAACTAAAGACGTTTTTCCGATGATCTGAAGTAGGAGAGACGGGGTAGTAGACTTGTCTCTTTAATTTAAAACCGGAAATGCATTTGCGTTCACAGGCAAAGCAACGGAGTCCACATGCAGCAATTTTTCACGCATCAACGACATTAAGGTTCTTGCATCAACGCCCCTTTCTGAATCTCTTTAAAAACCTACAATACGTTACCGCAACAAAGGGTTTGGATAAGAATCGTTTTGCACGCCTTACAACATTTTATACAGGTTGTTTCTGACGCATGTGTGTTGGAAGTCGGGTCGTGTAAAATAATCATCTTTATACTCTTGTCCTCGAGAAAAGAAAGTTCAGTCAGGTAGGGCTGTACCCTGTACCACTAGATCTAAGGGAGTCTATTTATTATTATCTAATTTACCTGAAGAAGGTTGTGTTCCGGCCAGGTTAAAGGTTTCCTTTCGGACTCTTTCTGAACCGACACCAACTCCCTCCGGTCAAAATGACCCTTGGTTTTCTCAAGTATGCTGGGGTCTGGTGCCGAAGCTGGGGCTGTGGGAGGTAGGGTAGGGTGAAGAGTAACAGCTAGTTTTCCCTTTTTGATGTCTTCTGGGGACTCAAGCGACGGGAATACCTGGAACTTTGGTATGTGAGATGTGTAAGGATGCTCTGATGGAAATCCTAACGGGATCTGGATTTTCCTGGTGGGAGCAAGACAAACATCAATAACATATCATGGTGAAGTCAAGAGGCCCTAACCACGCACCTCAACCGACCAAGAGCGCTACTATTCCTTCAAGGCAGGATGCCAAGAAACCCTTAAATTTGTTTGTTGAGGACCCGTGATTTGCAAAACACGCAAAACGGATTCAAATACTGACGCAAGTCAAAAGCAAAATGAGCCAATTCAATATTACTCGAACTTTCATTCATTCAAATAAGAACCAATAGCGATAAATATCGACAGATTTTTGGAAAAAAAACTTTTAACTTAAGTGGAACGCGGAGTAGAGTCACGTTACGTTACTTACCCCATTTCTGACTTTTCCGGATTTGGAACCCTGCGAAAAAAGCACAACAGATATAAATACAGTTAGAAGGGTCGGTTTTGTTACTCTAGCACAAAACATATGATGCTTCGTCACCATCGTGTTTTAACGAAAATCATATAATCATTTCACGTTTAAAACACTTCATACGCCACGTAACTACGGCTATGGGAGGATTTACAATTATAGTGTTATAGGAATTATTTCAAAAAGGGAGGGGGTCACACTGTGTCAAACAGAGGGTACTCACTTGATTATTATGTCGATCTCAACCCCATGTTTTGCTTAATGTGACTAAAAAAGGCTCACAAAGGGGGACCACCCACTCACGGGCACCCCCCCCCCGACTACGCCCTTGCTAGGGACTATACAAAAAGCTATCTTCAGGAGTACATGTACAGTAATAGTTCGGCCTTCGGGCGATGTTTGTTTCGGGGAGCTGTTGTTGATTTATCATGATTACTTCAGTCTGCTTTCGGTCCCCTAGTTTTTCCTACCACAAGAACGGCAGAGGAAAAGCGGACTCTAAGAACGAGAATAACTAGAACACGACTGTCCCCGCGCGCGCGTTTTAGCTGTGATTACTCAGCAGGAGAAGAGAGGATTGGGAAGGAGACGGGAAGTCTAGGCCATGTGGCCGGTAATGATATCACTTCCTGTGCCATTTTTGTCTCATTTTTCTTCGGTCACATTGACGTTAAGTTGTCTTTTTTTATAAGTAAACCGTTAATAAAGCGTCTGGCGAAGTGGAGACTCTTTTAAAACTTCATAGAGACCCTCGATGAGATTTTTCTCTCAAAGACAGAATTTTTTTAAAACTAAAAACCACTTAATTTTCCACTAAACCGGAATGACGTGACAAGAAATCACTGGAACCAGTTTCAGTCACCTTCTGAATTAATAAAAGACATCACAAATTCCATATCAATTGAAATCTACACGAGGAAGAATCATTAATTAAATCGTTTAAGACGATCAGTACATATTTTCACTTTACAAGAAAGATGCAAATAATCGTAACTGTGGCAGGCAGACAAAGCATATTCGCGGCTAACCGCGAAGTGCATATTTGAAAACAGTTGGAAAGAAATTTTCGACACTGTTTTTCGAGGAAAGTTCAACCTTTCCTCATGGAAAGATTAAAGAAAAGAATGACCAATCTCCCAAACTATAGAGCACATGGCATAAATAGACGCTTAAGGCAAAAGTTGAGGGGAATTAGCATAAATTAGTTTTGAGAGCCGCTCACAAAAGATACTGCGAGACAAAGGTGATGTTGTTTACAGCGAAAGAGTCTTGTGATTATTTGCAGGTGACTAAGCGTAAATACAATTTACATATTCATCTTCTGCCCCATTCACAATTATAAAAGCCATGTTGTAAGCCGGCAGCGAAGTCCTAGCTTGTGTGACAGAGAAGCACAAAAAGTAACGCGTTACGTTTATGATGAGTCTGCTTTATGGATCTTTTCGACATGATGTGGCATCAAATACAAGCGTAATTAATGATCGAGCTACAGAACAAGCATAAAACATTCAACGTGGACTATAAACCAACTGAAAACTCTGCAAGTAAGCTTTTAAAATCGTTCCACTTTCGCTAAATTCGCCTTGCAACAGGTCAATAGACATATTCGGCTCTTAAAAATGTTGCCATGGAAACGTACTTCCAAAAGACCAACCAGAAGACGTCCAACAGTGCTAATCTACGTGTCGCTAATATTCTGGGAGTGCCTTGATCAGTCGACACTCCACGGGAATTGTATTCTTGGTACGCAAGTGCAGTGCTGCAATTAAACATGGCGGTAAACTCCGAAGATGCCAGCCACGATCTGTACGCGGTTCAACTTTACGACCAAGAGTACTTAAGGCCTCGCACGACGGAGGTGCATGGCTTACATCTGCCAGAGAAGAACACGTTTACAATCCGCGTCGATCCAAACATGTTAGCCGACAACAAAGAATATTCAGTGCCCAAACGCCTGGAACACCTCGAGAAACGCCTACAAGGAGGCAAAAGCAGGGAAAAGCGAGGGACTTTCCGCAAGGAAAATTTACTGCTCGTCGACTTGGAGAGAACCAGCGCGCTCAGTGACTTAATCACCGGAGAGATACCCGTATTCGCTCTAAAAACTTACAAAGAAGAAGGCGAGAAACGCTACATGGAATTTTCACTGACCAAGAATGCTTCAGACAATCTGAGGCAAAAGGATCAACAAAGGAGGTTGGAAGTCGCCATGAAAATCGCTTTCGCCAACTACCTTCACTGGAGCCGTGTCTACGAGGAAATTGAAGGCAAAACTGAGAAATCAGCGCTCGAGATCGAGCGACAAGAAGATTTGGAAGAGTACCTTCGTAATCCACTCGAGTGCAAGGGCATTGTCTACTGCTACCTCGTGATAGATGAGTCACAAACGGCAGATAAAAAATACCAGTTCTACATTGGCAAAGCAGAGGGAGAATTCACTAAGAAGATCAAGGAACATAACACGTCGGGTAACAAGCCGCTATTGGAACTGTCATTGCAAGACAAGGCGCTTTGGCCGAGAGAAGATCAACACCTTAAACGAAAATTTAAAGAATCGCTGCCGAAATCCCCCAAGAAAGGTGCAAAGAAAAGCGATGACATCCACGTACCGCAGCTTGACTATGAGCCAAAAGTTGTGGTGCTCACTTTGGACTTTGGCTACACGGAGAAACTTGCCGAAAAATTCAAGAACTCGATCGACGCGGAGGACACAACAGAAAAGCTCGCCCAGAGTTACGCACAATACTTTGCCGCCAAGGGCCCCATTGGACTAAATGGCTGACATTGCAGCCTTTGAACATGTGATTTCCAGTAGTAGTAGGAAGTTAAATTAAATAATGCACCAGGATTTTTTGTTATCACTGCTTTAGGACAATATGGAAAGGCCGTAAATACTACGTAAAGTACAGGCTTCGAGACAAAATGTTAGCATCAAGACGGAATTTTGTCAGTTTGAATCAGGGATGAGATCTGATCTAGATTTGTCATGAATCTGTTACTATTTTTTCCCAGATGCGAGGTGATATATGTATGTAGCATTCATGAGATAACACAAACTCTTGGTATTCAAGAAGGCGTTATCACACACACATCTGGAGCATTCGATTCATTCCGTGCGTTTCTTCAAGACTAAACTTTCCGCAAGAACCCAAAAACATCACTGGTGCTAAGTGACTGTATGTTTCAAAAAGCAGTTGATTGAGAATGAATTAAACGACTGCGGTGAAGACATTTCAAACCGCAGAGTGGAAGAAGTAAAATACTACTCACGAAAGCTCTAGATCTTGGTGAAGGCGCTACAATTTTTTCTACAATTTAAGTGTTCCTATGATGTTTACAAACGTTTCGGCCTTCGGTAAAGGAGACAGCATTTTCTGGAATAAACTTTTACCGCGACATGATCAATACAAGCTCCGCTAGTATCTGCACATTTAAATTAATAAAACTATCGAAGTAAATAATATCGAGATGTGCAAAGATTTAGTTTTGGTGAGGATATTCTATCCAGTGCGTGACAAACGAAATTGTATCTGTCTCCACTTTAATCGCTTAGTATTCGAGTGTGTTTCAAGAAACGCTATCTGCCATCACTCGTTGTTATTCATGTAAATTAGGGGAAACAATTCGTTTCGACATCTAACGACTGGTTGTTGTGTGTGTGTTTTTCTTTTTAAAGTTAAATCTTAAGGAAAGCAAAATAAAGAATGACTCTTTACAACGAAGGATGTGAAGATGCAAGTGAAAGAGTGTTTTGTACTCACTGTTGCAATTAAGGATAACATCAAAGCTAAAAAGGTTTCGCATTGATTCAACAGCTCCTAATTGCATATCCTCGTGACTAAATGTTCGGTTGTAATATCTTTAACCTTTTTATTATTATAAAACAAGCGAAGTGGCATTGGTATCGATAAATCAGATTACTGTAATAAATGGTAACGCTTGAATAAAGCGCTAATCTTTTTAACACCCCATTTAAGGGCTCTATTACTCGATAAGTTTTCAAGTGAACCACAGAGGCGATGCCGTGATGAAAATGCAAATTTACAGCCGCGAATTGTAAACAAAACACACGCCCCCATTGTTGAAGCTGCATTTGAAATTTTAGGTCTTTTTAATCCTGGTCAGTGTTGTGATTCTATCGAGTAAATCTGCTATGCGACTAACATCAGATAACTGTTCTATGATTCACTATTAAAATGTCTCTAACATCGAGTACAACGAAGGTTGAGTGAACCCTTGGTAAACTAAAGCGGAGATTTCGTCCGAACAAACAACTGGGAAAATCCTAAAGTAAACAAATTAACGGTTTATTTATTTAGAACATATACTCGATTTTGTTCTCGTCCATTCAAATGATTGTAAGACGCGAAGCAAATTAATTTTTTGATAATTTATTCATGAAGAAAATTCGAGAAAATAATATAAATGATTCGACAAGTTGTGGTTTTTAACACAATAGCTACTAATGCGATAAATGCAATTGACTCAATACTCACAATTCATCGTTTCTTCTGAGGTTGCTTTTCTTCAATGGGGTAAGATCGTAATACTGCTCAATAGGTACACCACTGCAATGCAATCAAATTGCTCTTGTTACTTGAAAAAAAAAAAAAAAAAAAAAAACAAAAACAAAAAAAACCTCAGCCGAAGGATTGAAACAAAAACAGGAAGTATAGGAGTCAAACACGTAAAGACATGCACACACACAGATGAAAAACAGTTTTCCTCGCAAGACAATGACGTTGGAAAATATGGAACTTTTGCATGATTTTGTTAAGAAATGTGTGCGAAAAAAGATCACACGGATTACTGACCATGGACCAATTTTTATTCTACGCATGCAAATGAAGTCGGGCAAGATGGCCATAAGAATAAACAGGAAATACTTTCTTTTCCCTTGTTCTTTTTGCTTTTGTCATTAATTTGGGCTAAATTTCCGAGGGCGATTAACTGCTCCCTACACAATGGCGCATGCTCATGCATCAAAGAACAACGAATTGTTTTATTAAATGCATCACTAGGCACCAGGGAACTTTTGTCTTCGTCATTTCAACTGACTTGTACCAGACTCTCAGTTAATATAGACAAGCGAAGAAGCAGGCGCGTAATAAAGGGCTGGGGGCAGACGTGGAGGTTGCAGTTGTCATAGAAACATCTCTCGTTCTGCCTTTTCTTAGTGTTTCCGCTCACAGAGCCAACACCATATTTCGCGCGCCCGCTCTTTCGCTTGTCTCGACTTCGTGAGAGCCCGGAGAAGGTTACGTTTCAACGCCCTAGTGATCATTCTCACACAAGGCCGGGAATTTTAATTTGAAAAAATTGGGTTCACGTTTTTCCCCGACTATCCCTGGCAGGGAGGGGGAAAGGGGCGACAAGGTGGGCTATATAGCAAGTGCCTAGGTGGGACTGCTCCTTAACATTGAAGGTGCGGGTTTTTTTCACCACTAGCTGTGGCTACTCGTGTGAGTTATTGGACTATAGACTTTACTCTCGAATTATCGGGGAAATGTAATTAAATATTGAAGGGTTTCTTCCAGCGGACTTAATTGAAACCTGACGGAAGGTGTACCAAAACTGTGAGGAACTTTATTTTACGGAAGTTAAAGGAAGGCAATGGTTCTTGCGGTATGGGCCACTGTGTAACACCTACTCAACAGCTAAAAAAATCGAATGAGTTTTAAATCGTCAAAGAAAAATTATAAAAAATTTATAGTACATGTCAAGGGAATTATTCTTGGCATTTGTCAGAAGAGTGTTGATACGTTTTTGTTTTTTTTTTAATGAAAAAGTGACATCTTCGGTGCATGTCATCTGTCCCTGAGCGCCCGATTGTTTGACTTGTGAAGCATATTGGAAATCACACTTAAGCAAGAGACAATATTGATACATATATTTTTGTGACAAAGCCAAACAACAGACAGAAGAATCGTTTCACTTTTATAGGATTGCATTTCAATATAATCTGCAATAAAAGGGATATTTATAACCACTGAACAATCAAAATATAAAAAGACCCATGCAGAGATGACCATACTGTATGTCGGTGACGAAATGACTTTGTCACCGTCGGAAAAAAGAGGAACTAGAACTGGATGGAAGTTGAACCTGACACCTGTAACCTCAATGAGATACTTTAGGTCCTGGAATTTCAAAAAGCAATGACAAAATCAACTGAAAAAAAAAATTGTCTACAGGCACGCCCGTTATCTATTGTCGGTTATCAAACCTTATCGAAAGCTATGGTTTTGAAGTAGTGACTCCGGATATTAGGTTCGTAGAATCTCTTTATCTTTGTGGAGTTTTAAACGCCTTACAAATAATTACACGCCTGTTAAGAAACTAATCAAGTAACAAACGGCTCAAACGAAATTTTGAGAGTTGCACAGAAACGGAGCGCCGTGCGAATTCCCAGACATGTTTGGGTTAAACTTTGTGTTTCGTTATCGTTTACGTATATTTCCCGAGAACAAAACCGTAAAAGTTAGACAAAACATAAAGTTCAACTTAACAAGACTCTTTATTTATTCAGAGCGAACAGTCAAATACGTGGGATATGGTGTTATTACAGTTAGAAACAATTCATAAAAATATCAGTCTACCTCACTTTAGTACGAGAAGTCGTTTCAATAAACAACCGTTGTTCATATCAGGCAATAGAATACAACGAGAATCCAATAATGGATAATATTAGATAATCCGCGATTAACATTGGATAATTTCCTGGGAAATACAATATAGGCAAACCAATGTTGCTGATGTTGGTGCTAAGCAAAAAAACGTAATTATGGAAAATAAGGCTTAAAAAAAAAAGGTCCACTACAATCTGCATGTTTGAGCAATTTTCAATTGAAAGTAATCCGGGATTGCATTAGTTTTTCTTTACTTTGCTCTGTGATTGGTCTAGAAAATTCGCGCCCCCCTCTCTCAACCAATCAGATGCAAAACTAAACCGATCACGACTTGTTCGCCAGCGTTTTTCCCGCGCTTTAGGAGGGTTTGCTTGTTTTTACTTTGGTTTTTCATTGGCTATTCACGCAATAAACTATAACGAGAGCCCTTCTTCTGATTGGCCGTTGTTGTTACTTTGGTTTTGGCTTTAAGACACTCAATCGAAAAGCGCTTAACAGAACATTCTGGTGTTTTCCGGAGTGGCTTATGACCGCATGAGTGCCTGCTACTCTTAAATGAAACATGTTTGGCTTTAAGCAAATCAGAAGGAATAAACACCCTTACCGTGGAAATGGCAGCACCCCTCCCCCAAAGTGCCTGTGTCCTTTCTGTACTCGCGTGGGGGGCTCCTGCTTGGGTCGATACTCCTTGGGGAGCTGAATTGGGCCAAACCCTCCATAGCTTAGACTGCGACCCCATGGTACCTTTGATGACCTGCTGGTCCGTGACAGGTAACGGTCAAAGCTGATATTGAAAAGAAAATTCAGTTCTCACTAAGCGTTAACGAAAGGATGAAGGGCTGAGGATTGAAACTGGGTAAGACATATCAGGATTGGAGATGGTCCTGATAGCATTGGATGGCGCGAAAAATATTGACTAAGCATCGTCTTCGTGTACCACTACATGTCACGCCACGCCAGACGACTAACAAGGTTTGTACACATTTAATTTTTCGGTACAAAATTCAAGCAGTTTTTCAGACTTTCGAAACCATTCTTTTCATTTTCAAAACTCAAGGTTCCGAGTCATGTCACAGGGTTCGGAAAAAAAACGATCACGTTGGAAGCGCAAAATGAAAAATTCACATCGAGTACCCTAGACGCTATTTAGGAGCAATTCAGCCACAGTAACAGCTTGTCGCCGCTTAAAACCAACTCAGAATTTAAATAAATTTTTGTTTCCATTCTTGTCGTTATGCGAAAATTTAGTGCGCTCATTTCCATACGTTTTCAAGATATTTGACTCTAAGAAACCCAGAAAATAGAGATCTATCAAGCTAAGTTTCATCAGGGCAAGTATTTAAAAATGTCTGATACCTTAGTCTAACGAAATGTGATCACTAAAGCTGTGCGACTTTCACGAGTCCTACTGTTCTCCATGTTCGGTGTGTGTAAATACGATAACTTTCTTTGCCGCTTTATCAACCAACTAGACAGCCCTGGATCGCTAGCGTTGAAAAAATCGCGCATTTTTGCCCAGGTGATGCGTGTGTGGGCATAAAAATGTTTAATGAGTTCTGGAATTCTAACTCGTCTCTGGGCACAAAAATCAATTGGAAACCACGCAAGCATTTACAACAAAGAGAAAATATTACAGAGAAATGGAACTTTTTCACAAATAAAAACATTGTTTCCCGGTTTCAAACAATAGCATCAAGAGATTGAGAACATCTGCAAACAATCGTGTTGCCCACAAATGAAACCACCTGTGTAAGCTGTCTATGATAGTTTAGCTTGGAGGCATCAACTGCATACAGAATGACAACACGATCCTAGATACATCTATGTCTAACTTTATAGCGAAATCATACGCGACATCATAGGTCAAAAACTCTGACAAAAAGATATATGATCGTTGCGACATTTATTTTGCGTAGTAAAACAACAAATGCTGGGCTGATAATTTTCTCAAATACTGCCGAGGATAATGTAATCTTAAGCATTTATGTAAAAATTCGCAGGTGCGTTTAAAATTGAAGGCTACTGATAACTGTCATCACGTTCCCTATCACAAATTATTCCAGTAAGTGCTTTTTAATCGTTAACAGAAATTTGTAAACAGAAATACAAGACAAAAAGTTACAGCATGGCCATTAATTTTGTAATTTAAGGGTAACAGAAAAAGGAAGTCGTGGTTCGATTATGTTCGTCAGATGGCGTGCTTAAGAAACCAGTTTCTCGATGATAAGTAAATTTCGAGCACTTAAAACAACTCTGAACCCAGTTCAACTCCTTAGCAACGTGTTAGCAACGGTTCCGCATGGTTTGTGTCAGATGAGTGCTAAAACAGACACAATGCGCCGAAGCATCAAACTTCTTTACCGCAATTTCACAACGAAATAAAGCGAGGGTTACTGATCTCATTGACTCTAAAACTTCCTTCAATACAAAAAAAGCACAGAAGTTATGTTACTGCTTCTACTTACTGATCCTGTGACACAGTAATCCTATCATGGTATTGAGGAGTATGTAGAAAATGCGACTCGAAATTCCTCGACAAGAAATCGACACCTTGATGTTCTTTGTATAATCCTTGCTGTAACGCAGTAATCATTATTATATTGAACAATATTTTCGTCGCAGGTGTACACGGTTTCCGTCAAATTACATGGCGAATTTCACAAATAGTTTCCCTAAAGTTACAGAACTTTTGCAAATCTCTGGCGCATATCCGGTACCTCGACAACATCGCACTATAAACATAAATTCGCCAAGGAGACGCTAACGTTTCCGATTGGTTTACTACACAATAGGACTTGAAGCCGCTGCTTGGGTTTAATTACAGTTATTTCCTACTTTAGTTTGACAATGACGAAAGCTCTTCGTTATTTTAACAATTATTAACTAGAACTTACTCATTCATAAACAGTATTTTTTTCGCTTTTTCAAGGAACACATGTTCACAACGGCTTGAAATGTGTCATAATTGCGCGAAAAGCCACCTGAGATCGAACTCGCGGTGTTGATGGCTTAACTCAGAAACTGCTGAATGCGAAAAAGATACAAAACAAACAAAAAAAGACAAACGAAAACAAAACACAAAGCAAAGTAGAAAATCAAAAGAATATATTCCACTTTCTCATTCGCTTCTTGAGCTGGATTATTAAAGGAAAAAGCAATGAAAGTAATTTTGGACAAGCTGGGAACAACATCTCACCAAAGCTTTCGGTTCAATAACTTCAGATACTGGAAGTTGTCTCTCTTATCGTTTGTTGAAATTTCTCATATATTTTTTCCCTAATTTTTTTCTGTCTAAAGTCAATAAAATTTCAAACGCATAATATTCCAAAAACGCCTGTTTCAGGGATTTATCCTCCTGTTTGTGTTTGTGTCCTTAAGGTCTCAAGATTTTCATTCAGAAATGAAGTATCTGAGAAACCGCTGGATTACCATTTCCGAATGGTAACTAGTTAAGGCCATCGAAATTCAGCGGGAGGATTCTGTATAAAGGCCTGAGAAATTCCTACCTTCCATGCCTAATGCGTTGATATGACTGCTATAATCGAGATGTTTTTCCGCGAAGAAAGAAAAAAATTAACTGGGTATTTAGATGCATTTGACGGAAAACTGTGGAAATCTTAGTTTTTAGGCCTTTTCGTTTTCATTCTGTCACCACATTTTCCGCACGCTTGCTCAGCGAGTAAATACAGTCTTGAAAGGACTCACCAAATTATTGTCTGGATCTGTTAGACCCGTAGAAGTGATTAAAAGTGTCTCTCGTAAAGTGGCCTTAGATTTCTCTCCAGGCTAATCAATCAACGAGCTCAAAATTCACTGTATATTTTACTTTCGGGAAGCTGCATGTGGCACACAACCTCCGCCTTTCGAGTCTGCAGCTAAGTGGGAGAGAATATCACGGGCAAACGAAGGGTTGGGTTCGGAAGAGAGACTAAATTTATAATTGTCATCATATGTATCACTTTTGTGACAAAATAATTCAAACGAGGATACTAAAAATCTTTTGCGTTGGACACAGGAAGGAAAAAAAAAGAAAACACACAACATAGCAAAACAATGAGACGAGAATTCTAGGCTGATTGAATTACAAACAGTTGAGCCGCTCTTCTTAAAACAGTAGCGCTACTAATGTATGGAAGAAGATCCCAGAGCACCCCATTCTTTCTCCTGTTTATCTAAGAAGCGCGCTTCACTTCAAATGAAGACAAAGAGCCCGCTGCTTTGTTTAGCATTTTCTGTAATAAGGCGGAAAATAGATAGTTGACAATGTTACTGTCTTCCTGCACGTAGAGATCAAAAGAAGCGGACCTGGCTGGTCAGAAGATTTATTAGTGACGTCAGTTGTCACGACTGACTGCACACCGAGTCAGGTAACCTTGGCAAATTTTGTTTAGCGTTCGAACCAAATCCTGAGAAGGAATTTGAAGATTTCCGCTCGATTTTTGTCGAATTTTTTGGCAAATCAGTCTTTACGCTACTTTTTAGAGTCTCACTTGGTGCAATGTGAGTAAGTTCAGTGCGGTAAATCGCTTGGAAATGGCTCTCGCGATAACTAATTTGTCGAAGCTTCAACACGAACTCTACCGCGAGAAGCATGGCTTCGACAAGTTGTCTAGAAATGTACAATCGTCTATGGTCTATGATCCGACGCACATTCGCCGCATTACAACCTTCCCTGATCGGTAAGTGCTATAAAAAATTGTTGAAATTTTTTCCGTTAGTTTCTAAGCTTGTGGAATTTTGTAATTGTCTGCGATGTGCAGACTTTCGCCTTGAATTCGGATATTCTGTACGATAATTTTGTTTTCTGAGGTCGAAATCTACAAATTGTGGCTTTTAATTACACCTGGTGTTGTTAACACTCATTTCCCAATCACGAATTGAGATCGAAAGGCTTCAAAGAATCTCACGCAACCTCAAGTCAGCACGTCACGGTAACATTTTAGTAACGCTAGGATCCAATAGTGGAGCGCGCGAGGAGAAAAGCGTGACAGCATCTGCGTGGGTTTTTAAGGCCAACTGAAATTGCTCCATACTCTCTGCGATAAAAAAAAAAGTAAAATTGCGTTTCGTTGTTGTTGTTTTTCTAATCTGAACTATGACCAGTCGTTGGGAAGTGTAGGTCTGTAATTCGTGCAGAATGTTTCAGAAAAATAAGAAAAATTTTCCCCAAGCTTTTGAAGAGTGTACATGGAACATCTCAATAACTACATGAATATTAAGTACTGAGAGGAAACATGCTGAAGGGGAAAAAAAAATTAGTGGATACATTTCATAGATAGGTAAAATTTCCGCACAGCCCCATACTATTGTAAAACAACTCTGTTTTCCCAATGGCAATGTATTGTTTTTGTCATTGTTTTCTCTATCCAAGAACTGAATGCATAATGTAGTATGGGGCTGTGCAGAAATTTTACCCATAGATACAATGTAAAGGAATACAACTATCTACTTGATGAGAAACAATTCATCTACCCACTACCAACAAAGCAGTTAATTGCTATGTATATAAATCAACCAAAACTGCCCACGGTAATCACATTGTCCAAGGATTAACATGTAACATTCAACTAACAGAGGGGAGATAACTAATAGGATACAAGAGACTAATAGGATTCAACACAACTCAAGATCCCTAGCCAGGGGGAAGGGGGAAGGCAACCATAGATAAAGGATGAAGATGTTCCCAGGGATCTTAAATTAGGCTCCCAAAAGGGGCAGACTGACCTGGGTGTGGTGTTTCCCAGGAGGTACCATTTAGGAACTCTTCTTGGGTGAGCAAAGAACAAACCTGGCATTCAATTCCAGGTTCCAGAGCACTGAAGTTAGAGCCACTGAATAACATATTTAGTTCCTTAACACTTAGCTACAAAGCTTCCAGTGTGTATATGATTTTGGTTTGTGAGCTCCCCCCATCCCCCAACTTTTCCTCAGAATTTCAAATTATCTTTGACAAGGTGGGTGTTGATTGAACTGAAACTGTCCAAGAAACTTATGTCTGGGTGATAAAAATTGTGCTATTGATTATTTTAAACTCTCTCTAGATATTCACGTCACCTTGAACAAGCTGAAGTTCATGTTAAATGTCCTTGGGGTCGTGCCCGAAGCTATGCTGGTGAAGCTCCTGTGTGTCTTCCTGAAAGTTGTCGGCCAAAATGGGAGCCACCTTTCCTCCTACAAAAAGGACATAGACACTTTGGCAGTGGAGTTGATCCACATCCCAGGTGAGTTTCTGACTTACTGTAGTCTACATGATCCTTTTAGTGCTAGCTGGATTAAGTGACAACAATGATAACCATATTCCTTTGCAGAACAAACTTGATGTTGCATTATTTGCTTTAACCTTCAGAATCTAAGAAAAAAAGAAAACAACAAGGCATTGACAATAGTTTACATATGTACATATATTAGTTTAACTAAAGACCATGCACACCAAGTAGTAAGTTACCTGTATTGCAGCTTGCTAACTGAGTGCCATGCAGTGATTGCAAAATTGGCTCCTTAAGTTGCTAATTTTGTCACCAAAATTGTTAACTATTCATCAGGGCAACCAAAAATATCAAAGTTTGGAGACCTGGTTAGAGTCATTGACCTTGGTCATGTCTTTGCTCTAGCAGTGTATAAGCTCCTTCTAAAGCATGTAACAATTGTCTTTAAAGAACATTTATAACTTTTCTCTAATGAAAGATTTCATAAGAGAGACTAGAGCCATCTCACACCCAGTGTTTCATCAGAGCCCAACTTTGTTTTTTTACATTGGACCCTGTGCTGGGTTCTCAGTAAATCCTTTCACTCCCAGAGGAGATAAACATGAAACCTCCCTATAATATCCCTACACTATTCAGCAAAAAGGTTATGGGAATACTCAAGCTTACGGGGTAGATTTTTGTTATCCTCATCTAACACCAAATTCTTATAACTGGTTTAAAAGGAAATCTGTCACAGCTAGAGGGAAGAATAGGCCATTTTACAGTTGTGTACTTAGTTGCCAAGCCTTTGATTTGGAGTGAGGCTGAAGGTGACCTTGTTGTGATGGAGACTAGTATCTGGTTAGCATGATAACAAAGTAATTTGCATCTGAAAAGCTGCAAGGTTTGTATCATAACAAGGTCACCCTTAACCTCATTCCTTTTCAAAGGCTTAGCAGCCAAGCACACAACTGTAATGATGACGATGAGATCTTGGGAGTTAAAGGGTTATGGGAGGAGTGAAAAGGTGGTTGAGGAAAAGGCTTGTATCTGACAAAAAAGTTTTTCTCTTTTCTCTTTTCTCTTCCACAACCTTGCCTCCTTTCATCATCCTTCTTTTTAAAGCATCTCCACTCATCACAACCCTGATGCAAGCAGTAGTTAAGATTACATAACATGGTGCTGGTATTAAATTGTACAAGTGAATGTTGCCAAATCTTTCCATGAATATCACATTAGTATTTCTCAAAAATTCTCAAAAAATATCTCATTGTGACAAAGATTTTTTTTCTGAAAATACCTCAGCAAACTTCCTAAATGTCTTTCTCTCTGGTTTAAAATTGAACCAAATTCGAGGGAGTTCCAAGAGCATATTTTGAGTATTTATTGCAAAGGACCAAAGACAAGTTTTAGGCTCATCAATCTTACACTTTGCACAAAGAAATAAGAAAATAGTGTGAGAGCACAGGAGACGTGTTATAGTGTGCTGTTTAAGACACCATAAGAAAAAAATTTAGAATAACCTGTGGAAAGACATTCTTTTTAGGGGGGGGGGAAGTGGGAATGTGATGGTGTGTCAGTCAAACGGTCCAGGTAAGGGAAATGCTGAAAAAAACAGGACGCCCAATGGCAGGTTGCATTGAGAACCTGTAGGGAAATATTAACACCATCTTCGGAATTTCCAGACGTCATTGGATATGATCGGGTTTTGTTGCTAGCACTCTTAGGATAAAATTCTAACGCTCGTGACTCAAAAGAGTTGACAAGTATTGGACAACAGTTGAAGAGTTTTTCTTAATGAATTTTAAGTTTCAAATGCGTTTTAAACAGTTTCAGCTCAGGTTTCAACACTTGTCCTGTCTCCGGAATAAGTGAAATAAACGCTTACTTGATGTGCTTTAATTTCTCGAAGGCCGAGAGCTTTAAGCCTTTTTATTTCTGTTTTCCTAAGTTCTACATGTAATTCTTCGTGCATCAGTGCAGGTTTTTACTGGAAATTTGACTGTTCTGGACTTAAAGTTACATTCTAAGGGGAGTGCTTGAGAATCAGTTAAGAATGAACACTGTAGTTGTAGTAACTGCTGAAAAAAGGAAGTGCGACCTTTCCTTTGTGAGTGAAGGGTTCCATTTGTTGTTTCTTACCGTCACAAAACTGCTTCTCTGTGGTTGATAATTCTTCCAGTTGTCCTCTTATGCAAATAGACTATCAACAGGTTGGTGCCTGTTCGATAAATCACGCTCCCAGTTTCCCCTCGCGTTTCTTGGGAACGAGCGAGTATCACCGACTACCACCCGAGACTTTCCGACGCCTAAGAGACCTGACGGAAAGGTTCCCAACTTACAAATCAGAGAACTTTTATTTATATTCTTGTCAATTACTTTTCTCATTAGCAAGGAATATGAGATAGTTAATGGACAGAGAAGAAATTAGAACAGAAATACATATCCTGGACGTTCTGCCATGCGTTATTACTGACTGATATAAATTTTGTTAACTAGGGAAATTGGTATTTTTTTAAGGTTCTTTGTAATAAAATAAGCGTTTCATTGTTCAGTTTCATTGATCTGAATTTCTCCTTCAACGATTCAAAAAGCCCTTAATTGGGTCTTCGTTAGGTACTTGAAGGTTGGAAAAATTGCATAATTTCCCTCATGCTCAGATTTTCGACATATTTAATCTAACGCTTCGGCTCAGCAATTTTGCTTTTGGTATCTCTGAATAATGAATCAATCTATCTCTTCGTGACACTTATCCCTAAGAAGCGTACCAAAGCTGATGCTCGCAAAATGAGACGCAGTGTTGACTCGCTCGTAAATATTCACAAGGGTCTTTTGCCTTCCCACCCCCCATAAACTGTAACTGATATTGACCATTTTTTCACACACAGCGAAGATATGCTGCGAAAAACAACAAAAGTAGCACCAAAAACAACGAGAAACGAACATTGCAGTCAAAGAACGAAAAAAAAAACTGTGTTGTTGACTTTCGCTGATCACAGGATAGCGCTAGTGGCCAGTGGGGATTTGGTTTTGGTAACATCTGATAAGATGACAAAGAGGCGCATTTTGGTACTGAACTGAAAAACTTTCTTACCATCCTGTCTGTTTTTATTACAGAGGTCTTCCATTGCAACAGTTTTACGACCTGACGCAGCTCAAGCGGAGTAAAGTGAGGTGGAACGATGAGTTGTAAGTAATACAAGGAAACGAGTCAAAGGCTTGGGGACGAACTGGCAAAGGTGGGGGCGAACTTGTTTTGCCTTATGGGGCGAACGTGCTTTACTTTAGAGGGCAGACTTGCAATAAAGCGAAAACTCCAGATATCTTACAAAAGGGTTGAACCCAGGTGGCCGAGGTTCAACCCCTTTATGGGGAACGGATGGGAGAATTCTGGGATTGGACTCGATAAGGCCTTAACTAAGCTACCTTACAGCACTTTACCCTCCTGTATATTCAGTCACATGATGCATTTAAACCAACCACGCGCGAACAAAAATTTCTCATAAATATCAACCTATATTTTTATTGATAAATCTTGTCTCCTCTGTAGGTTGCCAAGGCCCACAACGGCTGCTGTGCAGTGAGTATTCAATTTTAGTAACTTTTATGAAAGCAAAAGAAGAGACCTGCGTAAAATTGAATCGAATTTGAAGATATAACAACTTTACCGTTTGAAAATTTCAAAGGGAACGAGGTTTCAATTTAATTTTTATTCAGTTATGCTAGGAAGTGCGAAGCCAGCGCACCACAATCCCTTTCATTTGGATTAGTTTCGAATCCGCGCGGTTCCTTTCTGTTTGCGCTTTAGACGATGTTTAAATGAAAATAAAAGGGTATGTGAAGGGACTGGTAACAGCCCCCTTACCTGCGTCAAATAAGTATGTTTGAAGTAAGTAACGTGCATGACCCAGCTACTACCTTGTCTCACGAAAGAATTAAGGGGGCTATGTTCACAGGGTAACTAACTTAAAAACCATTTAGAGAAGGGACAAGACGTAGGTCTAGCCAGCTTGAAATATTTAGGAGAGTTTAATTTGTGATATTGTAATATCCTGGTTGTCATTTTGGGAATATATTTACTTTAATTGCGTTTTTTTTTCTTTTCACCCATGTCCACGGTTACTATATTTTTCGACTAGTGTAGTGTTGATAGATGTTGCCAACGTGATGTGTGCAGTTTGTGTTTTGTTCTTCGAGTTTGTTACAGGTTTGACTCAGTGTTGATACCGTTTCAGTTTATTGTACATGTGTGCTTTGGTAAGGTATTTCCGTCATATGATAAGTTTCCTCCAGCTGCCTTCTGATAAGCGTGGTAAGCTAAAGAGCAAGTCAAAAGAGAATTGGAGACTGTCACAAGAGAAATCCTCAACAAGTTTTCCGTTAGCTATTTACAGTTAGTTTGTGTCAGGAGGGGGGAAAGTTGTATCACCCGAAAGGCGCCATTAGTTCGTGCGTTTTCTACTGACGCAAGGCGAGCGGGAAGATCGATTCATACGCGAGACTCGACTTCTGCGCCCACCTCCGCTTGCCTGAAGTAAGAAAATAAAGGACGTTAACTCTGATTCGATTAGTTATCATTGGACAAACCTTATGGGTTGCGAACACGTTATAGAAATTTTTTCATTATAAGGGAGAGAATGGAAGTTATAATCCCAAGACCTAAATAACCGCTTCATTTTCAATCTAAATTAAAACTTATTGTTGTTTAAACTGCATTGACAAAAGAACAAATAATGTAATTTATTTTTACCAGGGCTTTCAATGTGACAATCTTTCGTCATTTGTTGTTGTAGTCTTGTTGGAGATGTTGACAATATTTTTCCTTTTTCCTACAGAGAAGGTCAAATTTATCTTCCTTTTCCAAAGGAGTCTCCTCTCAGTTCACATATGTCCCGTCAGGCCATGTTCCCCAGTCCAACGCCAGCAGAACCTAAATATCAAGGCAAGATCACATCACCCACCCCTCCCCCGATAATCGTGAACAAAGCCATGGGTAGCTTTGCTCGGCGGGAAGTGGTAACACCAGTGTTCAACTCCAGGACTTCTCCTCCACTGCAGCATCCAGTGCGACCTGTAGCAGTAAGTACAAACTCGTGATCTGTGTAAGACTAATTTGTTTGAAATAACAGAAACCCCATCAGAAAAAGGGGCATCGATTAAAATAAGTAATTTCAGGCAACCGCAAAACGCATATTTAGTTCTGACGGTCAAAATCAACCTGCCTCTGCCATACAGCCCTGTAACGCTATTTCGCACTCAGGAGGGTGGGTTAACCGTTAACACAGTTAAACGTAACAACTTTTCTGTTAACCATAACGGAAGTAAATTAACCGTTAACCGTAAAATGGCAAAACTTTTAACCGTTAGACACCCTCACACGGCCTTGCACTGGACATTTTCCGCTTTTAAGAAGGAAGAGTTTGACAAAATTATTACAACCATCTAAGAAAGGTGAAGGAAACATTTTTGTTTTATCAAACACGTTATTAGATAGAAATTATGTAAAGCCTGATCCGTGTAAAGTGTAAAGCTGGTAGATAGTACCAGTTTTGTGGACCTAAAAATTACCCTTTGAGATGCATTTCCGCGAAAGGACAATGATCTCGGTTGAATTTTAAAAAGTAATTAAATAACCAAAGAGAACGTCCTGTCAGGAAAAGGAAAATATCACAGGGAGCCCAAGAGAAATCAAAGCAACTGGTAATACACGGCCCAGGCGTCGGAAAAGTGAGCTATGTTTAATTTTCCCTCGGACTGGTTCAGAGTCCAGCGCAAGTTATCAAGACCAACCACTGAGGAAAGCGAAGCTAAAAATTGCACGCTCAGATTACTTTCTATAAAACATCAAAAATAACAAAAACGTTTTCTCTCTTCGTATTTCAAGGTGGCAAACAATTGGTTTTCAAAACATGATGTCATCAACCAGTTTAACAGGCTCCACCCAAGTAATACTCCCACAATTCGACTCAACATTCAGAGGCTACGGCGCGCTGACTGGAAATTTGTTGATTAAAAATGGCTAAACCAATTAGAGTCGAGAACGACAGCTCGCTCTCAAGAATGGCTAGTGAATCACAGAATGAGTTGTACTTCGATTGTGGAGTTAGCTGAAGAAAGTTTTGTAATCGTTTGTGTGTGTAGAAAAGGTTTACTTTTTTATTTTTTACATGTCAAAGAGTGCATAACATAATAGATTTCTTTTAACCTTGTAAGATTTTAAAATTATTTATTTTGGAAGAATAGCTAATCATAGCAAATTAGAGACCGAATGATTGTGTTTTAAGTCTCGTCCAGACTCCTTTGATTCCTTTGGATTTTCACCGTGTATTAAAACAACTCACTTTGCCTTTTTAACCGTCATTCGCCATTGTTTGTTTTCGTTATTGAAAATCCTTCGTTGAAGGAATCTCATCACCTTAAGTAAACTTATCTAGCGTTCCTGATTGTAGAAAAAGCCTGCAAAAAAAAAAGGTGGGGGGGGGGGGTGAGGCACTACTCGGAATTCTTTATGGGTGTGTATAACCTACTTTTTAAAATCCTGACCCAGGATTTTCAGTCCAAAAAAAGCCATTTTTATCCTCGTTTTTGGACCAGGCCTCTACAGTCTATACACGGTTGCAGACTAGGCTTTCAAAGTTGTACCTAGTTTGCGTGTTGTAGCTGATTGACGCTTCGCTTCAGTGTTGAAATTAAAAAGTATTAAAACTCCCTTAAAATTCAGTCGGAACGATTTGGTTTGGCCAGAAAGGATGAGCTCATGGTCTCTTGATTTTGGTAAGCTCTTTTTCTATACTATACAGCTAGAGTTAAAAAGACAGATATGTTTATTCGTTCTCGTAGTTCCCCGATTTAACACCATAATGATCATAGTGTAAACTCGTTTCCAGACCAGAACAGCTCAAAAACTTCCCCTTTACGACTGCGCAGAACAATATAGCTTTTTAGAGGGGAGAGCTTGCCTCCCCGAGTGAAAGAAGAAGATTACCATGCTATAAGTATCGCCAACTTTTCGAGGTACAAGTTGCTTTATTGATATCATTGTTGATAAAAGATTAAATAGGATATGTTTGGTGCTGCATCGGCGGGAGTATTGCAAGATATTTGGCTTTATCGACCGAGTTGATAGTGCAAAATGACCACCGTTAGGAGCCATTACTTAAGCAATGGGCTCCTGCCATCGTGCAGAGTTTTTAAAGCTGAAGTTTCCAGCATTAGCCCTTATTCAGAGCGGGTTACTGACAAAGGGCTGACGCTGGTAACGTCATCTTTGTAAACTCTTTATGGTGGCCAACTTACCTTATCAACTGATTTGATATAGCCAAATTATCTCATCGTTGATAAGTTTGATACTGCAGGTTAAAACAAGAAAAAGCCTGATTGAGACGTTGTTGTTTGGACTCTTTTACTTCTCTCAGTGGAATTCATTTCGTAAGACATTCAACCAATCAGAAGAAATACAGAATTTGGATTCCTGCGGGTAAGGGTCGCCATAAGCTGATCTGTGAATTTTGCAACCTTTGGGCTCATTCGAAAGGAAAAAAAAAACCGCGTCTTTCTCGTCACGCAAAGTCATTGTTAATAGCTAGTCGCAACGTTTCTACAGCTTTTCTAACAGTCTTATTCATGCGATCAGGTCTATTGATGAAGCGTTGCTATCTGAAGCATAATGCCCTTATTGGTGCGCTGTTATTGGTGCGTTTGTGAAAAAATGTTTTTGGTTTTTCTCAGTTTAGCGCGCTGTTATTGGTTCGTTTTTGACAAGCCGTTTCCTCATTGCGCTTTCATTGGTGCGTCTCAGTGTACATTAATCCTCGGACTGGTCTTGACATTGTGAACGCACTGATATGCCCGCTTTTTCTTCAACCGGCTGCTTTGCTTTATGATTGTAAACATCCCTACTCGGCAGAATTTTGCATAAGGTTTACTACCCCTAAAAGACATGCTTTTACGACAATATATGGCCCTCTCAAAAGATACGCCTGCAAAGACGTCATTTAAGCGGGTCCTGGTGTGTATCTCCAGTTAATGCAACCTCCCCACTACTCTTGACTTATAGGACACTGTATGGTTGGCTGAAACAATTTCCCCTTTTTCACCTTTCACGAGCTGTACCGAGTAGTGCGGCTTCGGAACTAGTGTTAAACGCTAGATCTGCATTAAACGTCGTAGACGCTCAGGATCTAGCCACTCAAATCATGTGACATGTCTCTGACACAGCTTGGATTTAAGTTGTCCACCATACCTCCCACAGGGCTCCACAATAAGGTCTTTCGATCCCGCTCTCGCGTTTCCATTTCATCAGTTTTATATGTTGTCGCAACGAGTTTAAAAAACCTGAGATAAGATAACTGCTGTGCGGTTGTGAACGCACCGTCCGCATGTACAAGTTGTACGCCACATTGCACTGTCTTATGAAGCTAACTTTACATCAGTCAACGAGAAAATTAGCACCTTTGATTCTGTGCATAGAGCTTAACACTACTTCGAAATGATAGGTTCGAATCTCATAGCAAATATTTTAACCGTGGACGGCTGTTTTCGTCTTGCTGGGTCTCAGTTGTCGGCAAGTTAGAACATAAAGACAAAACCAAGCAACACGGTAAACAATTTTATATGAAATTAGTGGTCATAGCTGTGTGTATTTAGTAGAAAATTGACGTCTCTTCTGTTTTCTCTTCTGTGCAGCTATGGCGTGCTGAAGAGACCCAAACGGGCAAAAAATGTTAATCATGGTTGTATCATAGCTTTCACTTTAAACCCTATCATGTCCGTGTCGTGCTCACATTTGCTACGTAGTCTAATAAGTTATTGAAGTTCATTGTTCTTTTTTTTTAATTGCTTTTGTTTCTATTTTGGAAGATCAGATTTTTGCAGATCCTATGCAAACCGACGACATCTACGCATGCAGTTCCTCGCCACAAAATATCAAAATTTTGGAATCCTTCGTAAATTGGGCCACTGAAATGAGGATAAATGAAGGCTGGTAGTTGGAGATCCGTGTTTAGGTTAGATATCACTGATTTACTGCGATAACTCATCATTTTGTCTGTTTATGGTCATAGATATCTAAGATATCAGATGAGACGCAAGAGTTTACAATCTTATCATGTACTCTTTACTTAAAGCTGGTTGAAAGAGAGACGCGAGCTTCATTCAGTTGGCACTTTAATACGGACCAGAGATACCGCGAAAATAATCTGATTTCCCTCTTATCTGAAAAGTGTTTGGGTAAATGCAACAATCGCCCGCTTAGGAATGTTTATAGGATTTCTTAGCGACATCTCTTAATTAAGGTGAAATTGGTTCTTTGTCTCACGAATGTAAACGGATTTCCGGTGCTTTTCGAGATGAGAGGAACGCGCGTTCGTCATAGGTGTGTCAGACTGTTTTTGAGACAAAAATGCAATTAACACCTTTCTTGGCAGTTGTCAACACCTTGCCTTTCTTTCATTAAGTAAAAATATTTTTATTTCCGAAATATTTTCACATCCTCTCAACTTGCGTGTGCCACGGTAAACCAGAAATCCTTGCTTTATCGCGTGCGGATCTTGGAAGTGTGAGTAAAACATTTGTCAGTGTTAAAAACCTTTTAACACCTTTGATTTTGACGTCAAACGTTTCGTTCTTTGGATGCCGAACTTATGGTAAAATACTTCAACAGGAAGTCATCTTGAAACACAGAAACGTCCGTTGCTTGTTTTTCACAGTAATACCAAGACGCTTTGTAACATTTAATTTCGACGCGTAAACGAGTCTAGGCAGACGATGCTATTGTTTTCAAACAAGCAAACTTTTGGAGAAGGGATTGATTAATAAAAACACAAGAACAGTTAAAAGCAAATTATCTTATTTATAATAAACAGTGTTGTGAAGTAATTAACGGTTTGTATCTTTCAAGTGCTGCACGTAAAGATTGAACCGTCTGTCCTTATGACTGATAACTGTCTCAGTGAGTGATTACAACTTCTTCAAGGGGTATTAGCAACCTTGTGTACGATATCATGATGGAAAGGTTAATAAGGCCTGACCGAAGAAAGTTAACGCCTTGAAATGAAATTGTTTAGCTGCTGTAATTGAGTGACGAATGAGGGAAAACTGTTGAAAGACGGCTTAGTAGCGAGGCAGAGTCTTTAAGTGTTCAGTGAAAGCTAGTAAAAAATGCGAAAAGATTTGGTAAAGTTGAATTTGCGGCAGAATCAATCTTTTTCCGTTCGGTAAATTTAGTAGTTAAATAAAGCGAGGTAAGAGATAAACAAAACGTGCAAATTGGTATCTTTTCCCCTGTGATGCTCAGTGGGTGTAAAGCTAGCTATCTGTACCAGAAGTGTGCTTTGTTTTAAAGGAATTGTTTGTCTCGTTCAATCCATTGCGAAACCCTCGTCAGAGAAAAACGGTGGTTGGGACAAATAGATGTTGGGTCACCTTTCGTATTTGTATCACTATGGATTGCTTTTAATTTATCGTTTTTAAGAACCGAAAAATGAGGAAAAGCGAAAAAAAATATATCATAGCTCTGTAAGTGAGGAGAGAAAATCATTCCCTTTTGAATTGTTCAATGCTTTCAAGTGTCATATCAAACGTGTTGTAAGAGGTGAAGAGAGCTAGAGACTCACTCTGGCGGAATTAACTTGCTAGCTGTATCAGCTTTATCGACGGTTACAATTTGACGTCTATAAGTTTCGCTCATTTGAGATTTGTGTTGCTGTGTTACTACTTTTAAACGGTACTCCACATACTGCACGAAAAATCTTAGCATTTCTCACTGTAGAGACGCCACTATATAGGGTTCGGAAAAAGTGACAAAAATGGGGTAACATTTTCGGCTAAGGACATCTGATTACAGAATAATTTTCACCTCATTGCACTTCTTAAATTTGAATGCAGTCAAACGATGTTTAGAACTGATAAACGGGTGAAAAATGGAAAGTGAAAAGGCATTTTCCAAATTCAAGGGTTATAGCTGTTCTAACTTCCGTTTTCAGACAAAAGATGTTCGACAATGTTTTATTTTTTCTTGAACCAAAAGAAACGCCTTCTCAGCTTGAATTCCACTTGGGTTGATAAGATAGCTGATCGTTGCAAACCTTAACAGATTTTTGGATAAAGCATATCCAAAGTTCAGCATCATTTTACTTATTAATAGAAAACGCAATCAAATTTTTTTTCTGAAGAATTCTAGATCGGTGGCAAAGAAAAAGCAAATATAGTCACAAGTTTGATTTTTTTTTTTAAATGTCTTTTGATCGCTTTTAAAGAATTTAAACGTGTGTCACTTTTAGCAATTTAAAATATTGACCAAAGGTAAGTTTTTAAAGTTTCATCAAGTGTGAATACAAAAAGGAAAGGTTGGTTTAGATTTTAACTTAGACGTTACGACTTCACAGCTATTACCTCAAAAAGTGATCGAATTTTCAAGAAATTTCGCTGCATAGGGGAAATGCTTTTAATCATTAATTGATAAGCTATGAGAGTCACAATGTCTCTGGTCTTTGAGAAAACTGCACAAGCACGAACATGCTGCTGTGTGTTCATTTAACTTAACCAGTATGAGATCTGCTTTCAAATTTTTTTTCTTGCCCATCAACTAAGAGGTAAACTGCCTTTGCTATTGAAGTTGAAGCGTTCAATACTCCAAAAATAGTCAGAATATCTCGTTATCGATCACCGTGGTCGAAAGTTCTTATAACAGAATTATTTTTAGAGGCGCAAGCATTATTTATAAATGAGCTGTGTATTTCCTTAATTGAAACAATGCTTTTGATTTGGGTCTATACAGTTATAATTACTTCTTACGAAGCTGAGTTTGTTTAAGGTCGACTGCCACTAAAATACTTTAAGTCAAAAACTTTTCATCTCTTAGTTGATATCCTTTCGTTCTTTCTTTTTCCTGAAAGGAAAGAAGAACTTGCCCATGTTTATTTTAAAAACGGCCTCTAAATTTAGAGCAAACATTATTTTATCGACAAGGCTCCGTTGAGTCTCTGGATCCAAAATAACTTCAATTAATTAGTGGAGTCAGGCCGAGATTTCTTATGCAAATCCCAAATTTCCAAAACAAAGTTATCTTTTATTCCTTGGGTTCGATTTATCTTGTGGAAGGTTTGATGACAATCAGGGTATAGATGGCGTGGGTGTCTTGGAATCGAATGATTTTTTTTCCACAAATAGGGGTTCAGTCACAAAAATTTTTGCAAAAAATGCGATGGTACGAATTTTTGGTCGAAAATGTGAATTTTACAATTAGTAATGAAAACGAATAATGGTGTGTGGATGTCTATTAGCAAAAGTTGTTGTGACTAAGATTACAGAGCTACCAAAAGAAAATGTGTGGCATAAATAGCGAGTAAGTGGATTGGAGAGGAAGTGATGAGATTTTTATGAGTGGAATTCGAAAAAGGAAGTCAGCGTCATTGATCGTTTCTCCGGTGGAAGAAGAATTTTTGTATTTCAAAGCCGTAAACTTTAATTTTTCATCGAATTTTCAAGACTTCTTATCATGTTAGCATTGTTATCCGAAAAAAAAATTTTGGTTTTAGAAACAGTTCAAATGTATAACAAAGAGTCTAACGAAACAATGTTACCATCAGGTGTTGAAAACATACCTTCTGAGACGCTGAAAGAATGTAATGATGAAAGCTGTTCTTTATTTTCCAGTGTTCGGTTTAAACAGGTTAGAATGAGTACCTCTTTCCGGAAAAAAATAAGTGGAAGTTGAAGTTACGTAATATTTTCTGGAACAGAACCTCAACCAACTTGATGAATGGAAAAAAAAAATCGAAGAGACGAAGCTGACTTGAAACTGAAGCGTGCCTTTGCATAGTTTGGAAGTTAAAAAAGTTTAAACTCGGAAAGAATTCAGTTTAAACTTGGATAGTATTCAAGTTCCTCGAGACTCTGTACTTAAAAGTGGCCTCTATCAGCACTTTAGCCAGATAGGATTAAACTTAAAATGACTTTCTTTTCAATTTGAATTCTTTCTTTGTTTTTGTAAACCCGAAAGTAAGCAATCGGTTGATTTTGTTTGAGATAACTGAAGGAAAAGACCTTAAGTTTGATTAAGCTAAGGCGATGATATTTTACCATTTACTTTGATCATGTTTTACGCGAAGAAAAGGCTGAGCCTCATTTCTCCAAGCTGTGAGTAGCATGAGTAAGAATCGATGACATCGTGTGCTGAAACCAAAACATTTGTCTCGATATATGGCTTGGTATGTTATTGGCTACGTTGACCGGTTTTCCTCGGTTACAGTTCTTCTATTGCCGATAGGAAGCTGTCTTCGACTTCGCTCACTATCGTTTACCCACTTATCAGATCATTTATTTATCAGTTTCTTGCCAGCAAAGGCAACAACTTTGAAGAGCATGGCCGGTGCAGTAAAGAGAGGGCTTCCGAAAGGCCTCTCCAAATAAGGCGATTTTGGCATTTCCTGTAAATAAACTTATCGCTCAGCTCTGTCACCCCAAAGCAATTAAAGCCGGGGCAGTTCACAAGTAAAATTGACGCGCTAAAAGCTCGTCTCGATAATCGCTCTAATTAATCTTCATACTCGCTTTCGTTCCAGCAATTAGTACTAGACACGCCTCCGCTTCTAAGGTGGACGAAAGTGAACAAACAATTTTGTCAGCCGGAATTGGCTATTTAAATAACACGACGCAATTAGAGCGCTTGCTTTTTCACGGCCAAAAAAAGAGATTGGAAGAGCCTCAGGGAATGTTAAAATGCGGGATTAAGGTATGAACTTCTCAAAGGACTGCAGAGCCCCAATTTTAATTCCGGAAGTCGGAGCACGATTCAATCTGGGGGTCTCACGTGCTATGTGGAATAATGAAAAGACAGTGACAAATTAGAACGTCTATTTAGTCAATTTAGGCAAACTCTATCAAAAGCCTCAGCTGGTGCAAGATCAGTTGAAAATCATTTATTCAAGCTGACCCTGTTTTCTTCTGAGGATTCTGTGTTTTGTTCTTTGGCTTATGCGAGAGGAACATGGAGGCTAATGAATGGCTTGGCATAAAAAAAAGCGTGCATGCAAAGCGCGGCTGAATGCTCTAGCCGACGACTCCTTTGATCACCACACGAGAGGAAAATATTTTAATGAAGCAATCTACATTTGAATAGCTGAAGTGCCATAAACAAAAAAAAAGAGTATAAAAAGATCACTATCTTTTGAATTCCACACAACTCTCTAGAAGCAAATTGTTGTGACAAGCCTGTTTTTCGCGTGCACTTTTTAGCCCTCGAGGCGTGGATGAAAAAAAATGACTCCTAGTGGCGAATTTATTTGATGACAATGGATCTAGAGATTACCGCAGAGACCATGTAATAATACAATAACTGATAGGAACTGGTCTACATAAGACAACAGTGACTTCAAATTTGGTGTGTCATGAAATATTACTTGTAAGTGTATACGGTACGACTTTGTTTTCGCCAGAACAAACGTAATTGGAATCGTCTCGAGTAAATTTCGTCGAATCGTCTTTCAATCGCTACATATGGCTCCTTACACCACAAGATCTCCCAATGACGATTTCATTTAAGCTCAGATATGTTTTCATTTCTTTGGCGTCGTTCTCAAAAAGCTGTCCAATTGGAAGAACGCTTTTTGAATTTCTCCCTGAATTGATATGATTCCGTGATTGATAGGTCGATATCGGAATATCGATAATTCAAGACAAATTTGCAAGGATTACGAGAAGAATCCTGCTTGGTTTAAAATTGAAAGCTACAAATATTGAACTAAACATGTGGTGAAAAATCACGGAAATTCGGTGATCGAGGTCACACGGAATGTTTGAAAAACTCTAAAGAGATGCCGCTAAAGAGAAGTGTGTTCTATTTGTGTCTTGTCTACTTGCAAAGTTAATAAAGTTTAATTAAATGAGCAAGGTTTGTCTTTGTTTGCACTGAACTCTATGAATACCAAAATGATACATGTGACATGAGATGAAAGAAAGTCATTTAAATGAAATAAGGATTTCAAACCTTCCTTTCAGTAAACATGTAACTGACATGTTGTTTTGCCTAACAATAATTACTCTGGCACTAATTTTTATATTCAAAAGGGATCGCATTCCAACTTAAGTTGCATAGCTTCTGGATGTGATGTGATTTGCTTGTGAGAAACATCAAAAGGACATTTTTCTGCAGGCATGCTTTTACTGCATACGTGAAGGGAGTCATCCTAAATTGGCTGATATTTCTAATTTAAAACCGAGAGAAAAAAAAAGCAAAACAAATATAATTTAGCTGGTGTTTAGACAATCCTTCCTCACTAGTGGACAGTGAAGTGTATTTCTTGCATCATAAGATTGCTTCATTTAATTTCAGAAAGCAGTGTTGACAGGAATCTGATGTCTGTACAGTAATAATTAAATTTTTTGTGTTGATTGGTTAAAAAAAGAACTTCAATGCACCCGCAAATTACCAACTCATTAGTTTTAGCAGTTTTAGCAGATTCAAAGCCAAAGTGGTAGTTAACCTCTCGCATTTTGAAAGTCCCGACACATTAGCAAAGGAAATGCTCGGGTGATAAAATTTTTGAAATGCCTTTTGATCGAAACTAACGCATTTTTTCGGACAAGAAGAAAAGCGAATTTTGGCAGGTGTAGGAATAAGCCAGGAAGTCGTTCAATTCACACACCCATCGAATAAACGACGCATGATGCCAGTCACATCAAAAACAACCAATCATAGGCAAGCAGTGTTAATCGTCACATGTAAAACCTGAACACGAATCGTTGCTTTCAGTAACATGTCGCTGAGGGAACGAATACTTCGCCGTAAGAGACTTCGCCGTTAAAAGTTTTTTCCTCGAGACAGAACAGTTTGCCCCAGGGCATATTTCGAAGAAACTTACGATTGGAGGACTTTGAGTGACATGGAAATTGCGACCGCCTCGTTTTTCATTCGTTTCACTTTTCTTGTATTTCTACTGCTTTTAGTGCAGTTTAGGCTCTCACTGTCGTGCAGTGGCTCCACAAATGCGCTGGACAAAAGAGGCCCGAGAAAAGCTTTAATGCTGGAACAGAGCGTGCCAGATACTTCAGAATACAGTCAGCAAGCAAGTGGACCATCAAAAGGAAAGATAACAAGAAACTCTCCTGAGTTTGATAAACTTAAACCCTGCTACAACAACGCTATAATATTCAAAGACGAAGAAGGAACCGGGGCAGATCGCTTGATGTCGAAGGTAGCACATCTTTCGTTTGTTTACATTTTCTATCTCGCGTAAAATCTCTTAAATGCACAGCATGTCGCTTCTTGTGAGGCTTATGTAGTCTAGATAGTTCGTGCGCGATTTTCATTCATTCATAAATTTACGACAAACATCGTCGAAACCATCGCGCGAACATAAACGGACCTTGTAAATTTTTTTCCATTAGAGATGCCAAGACAAATTGAACACGTTGGCGGATCTTGTAAGACGACAATGGCCCACAGTAAAGCTCGTCGTTACAGAAGCATGGGATGAACAGGGACAGCATTCGGAAAATTCGCTGCATTACGAAGGAAGAGCAGTCGACCTACGTTTGTCCGACAAGGACAAGACTAAAATCGGTTATCTAGGGCGACTAGCTGTTGACGCTGGTTTTGACTGGGTTTACTACCAGAAAAGGACTCACATTCACGCTTCAGTCCGCGAAGGTAAATACTGTTAATCTAATTCAAAAGAGCTTAAGTTAATGATTTTGGGTTGCCAACATTTCGAAAACGCGCGAAAACGCTGCGTTATTTGTACAAATCCGCACTGATGAGACTTTCTGAATTTTAGATTTTACCGCGCCAAACCTGTTATTGAGCTTTGCTCAAGTGCATGCAGCTGATGTTTTGGTTAGCAAGGGTAATAGTTTTTGCACCGCCCCTGAGTTAACACGCAAATCCAATTTTAGAAGTACAAAGGAAATTTCCTGAGTTTTTTCCGGCCATCGACGACAGATTTTTTTATATTTGGCCCCTTCCTGCGAAAACCCACCTTTCACCAAAACGAACTTGCATCCTCGTGTTGCTTTACAAAAATTATGGCAGTGATTTATTGGTCGATTAATAAGCGGCCCCAACGGTTTGAAGGAAGTAAAATGGTATCCTCATTGTTGTTTTGCAGATGGCTACAAAGACGAAGCTTGGGGAGGATGTTTCAGCTCTGACTCAGTCGTTAAACTGGAAAATGGCGCTGATTTGCGGGTCCGAAATCTGCAAATAGGTGACATTGTACAGGTTATGACAGAGGAAGGAAAATTGGGTTACAGTGAAATTGTAATGTTCGCAGATTTTAAACCCGACATACCTCGTGCTTCGCACGTTTTAATCGAGACCGAAAATCCCGCCAAACGAATTACACTTACACCCTCGCACCTTATTTTCACCACGAGCAATTCCTCAGAGAGTCGGCTAAAATCAAAACAAGCCGGAAAAGTGTTACCTGGCGAGTTTCTGCAAGTTTCATCACAAGGCAAGCTTGTCCCATCGTTGGTGAGAAGAGTGTCTGTTGTCAAACGAACTGGCATGGTCGCACCAGTAACCATGCAAGGTAATGTCATTGTGGATGGTGTTCTGTGTTCATGCTATGCCATGATAGCCGATCACGATATTGCGCACATGGTTTTCAGTCCTCTGAGACTTGTACATAGTTTTGCGTCGAATCTCTGGAGAATGGACATGTCAATTCAACAAGGAATGCATTGGTATCCAGGACTGCTGATGAAAATAAATGCTTTATTGGGCATTTATGAGCTCTCGTGAATGCAATACGCTGGATGTCGAATTAAAATTACAAAAGAGGAGAGAGAGAATTTTTTCTCTTTCCTCAATCGTGGCTGCCCTGCTACAACCTTTTTGACTTTCGCATAACTGTTCTTTGCAAAAAAAAAATTATGCGTTTAAAGAATTTTACTTGATTGCCACTTCTATCGGAATTAATATTAATGAAAGGCATTACTGTGTGATTGACTGACCAGGTTGTGCAGTTAGTATTTATTCATAGGTTGTCTTTACAGGACACAGATTTGCATTATATATATTTTTTGCAATATCTAGGATAAAAACAATGTTTGCTATCATAAATCTAGTGCTTGTTCACGTTTAGCGAGATAGCAAACTTTGTTCTCCAATATTTTTTTTTATGATAACCAATGAGCTTTTTCAGCGCTAATAGTGTAGTTTAGCGCAAAAAACGTAGGGCAACTCCGGAGATAAATTAAATTAAATTACCTATTTATGTCTCTATATTGTACATTGTAGTTTTGTATGACATTGTATAAACGGCAGGTATCCGTGTACATTCAGAACTTTTGGCTAAAGAATGAACTAAAAATATTAAAAAAATTATCATACAAATTATTGCGTATTAGAGCAGAAATGTGATTTGTTTTACGATGAAACGAGCTATGTAATGCGAAGTGAAAATTTCTTTGTACCTAATGTAATGCACTTTTGTATAGTTGTAACAAACTGCAGTTGGAAGACTATAAAAGTCAACTATAAAACTGATGTAAAAAAAAGTCTAGAAGTAAGTAAATTAACCTATAAATTTAACCAAGAAACACATTTAAAGAGGGTTATATATCTAGACGAGGTAATCATAGTCTGAATACATCTTAGTGTGTCAAGAGGATTCTGGTAATTCTCTTAACATGTCTTAAAGTGTTAAGCTTTATCATTTATAGCCTTTTAATGGCATTAGTGTACTTAGTGAAAAATGACCCGCATATAGCAAAATCCACTTTAAAAGAGATTTTATTTGAAAGCAAGGTTTTCCTACTTGCTCTTAAGCTCAGATTGACGCATCTGTGGGACATTTCCTTGTGTACGAAGGAATCTTACCTCGTTTTGTAGGTCAAATTCTTTTGAAGCTCAGTTCACGAAAGTTTGTTTTATCAGTCGCCTGGTAAAGGCCTTCTTAAGTCTCTCTTGATACAAACAAATGTATTGGTGACTTTCAAAACAGATTTTCAGCTTTGAGTTGTGAAAAGAGTGTTATTTAGAAAAAACTTGAAGTGCAAAACTTTAAGCATGATTTCGGAGCAATATTAAAGTATGTTCCAACGTAAATATTTATTGTGGTTTGTATCCCTGTTTCTCCTAACTCTTCCGTTTTTTTGTCACTAATTGGCATGTTCTTTGGCTCGAAACCGATCTGTCGTAAATTTGGAAATTAAGAAACGAAATCAAAGGCGGTCCTTTGTTAGTAAACTGTGCAGTACTGAACTTTTCTTGTGTACGCGAAAAGTAATCATGACAAAGATAAACATAACTGAAGCAAATGAAACAAGTAAATTTGGCGAGGGCCTTTTCAACGGTGCTGCAGAACATGAAGATGTTAATTACGGGGATAAATTAAGCCGCGCTGTTGAAAAGAAATGTTAGCACGTCCTTGCAATTAGCCACGCGCTGTCAACGAGGGCTCGCCCTGGGCGGACTCAGGGGCGTGAATGTTTGATTTATGTACTTTAAAAGTTCTAGGTTTTTCCGTATTTTGACATATTTTAAATGGGCCTTTTGAAGAAAAACAAAGAAAATGAATACAAAATTAGCGCATCTAGTATTCGATTATCACAAAACTGCAACAGGAGCTGAAAAATGGAGCAAATCTTGTTTATAATGGTATGGCTCCCCACTCAAACCTTAATTGAGTAGCAGCTGTGTTTAACGAAAGATCACACCCTCTGATAATTGGATTATGAACTTCTCTAACACAAAATACAACAAAAAAACTTCACTGCGCTTCATGACATCTCTTTCAGCTTTATCCTCAAGCAGGGCGAGAGCTCAAAACATGCCTTCAAACAAAAATGTTTCTATAACAGTCAAATTGCAATGATTAAAAGTTAATTGTTCCTTTATCTTCCTTAGAGTATTATTTCCTTTACAAGTTGTATTCGAGATGCGTTAAGCGACTTGGTATCTGAAGAATCCTTTGACGTTGTATTCAGGGTGTTAAGTGGTTTTGAACGTAAACAGATTCTGTGGTCGCTTAGAGATCTGCAAGTGATAAAACAGAAACAAGTCTGCGTTCGTGAGACACACGACACCCGTTCAAGAGGGTGTCAATTTTTGCGGTGAGTGCCGCTTCAGCAGGTTTCACGCGACGAAACAGAGCGCAAACAGCAGGGAGAAAAGGCGTTAATTGCGGTAAATTCACAACGACACTATTTTTAATCCCTGTCTGACGCATTAAATGAATTCTTAACCCGTTGTTTTTGTTCAATTCATTTGCGTGTAAAAAACCTACTCACTTAATTACAAAGTAGTCTGCAGGGTACAGTCACTTGAGAAGGCGACAGTGGGCAGCCACAATCGGTTGATAAACTAGCAATTATCCGAAATGAAAACTTTTTTTGGATCTCGGTCTTGTAACAGTGTCACACCCATATATTTCCTGTTGCTTTAATTTTAGACCTATTCTTGTTCAAAGTATAAAATAGTAACAAAGTGGTAACTAATAAAGCAAATTGGCCTTTGAAATAATGTTTACATGGTGTGCCATGCTTTTTGAAAAATTATCTTTTACCACTCCCACACACCCACACACCCACTCTTTACTCTATGGAACATAACTCATGTGAGAAAATCGTTTCAGCTCACGGAAAGGCTTACTAATCACCGAAAAATTTACGGACTTGCTCTTTTGTCAAAGCATAAACCCACAATCAAAGCCCACGAACCACGGAAATTGAGAAGCGCTTGGAGAATCTGATATCAAGCTTACGGGCAATTCAGTTAATTAAAAGATCTGAATAACTTACGAAATTCACATAGCCTTTTAAGCCACTGCTTTCATTTGAGAGCATCACCAGCGGTAATGTTTGTTAAAATTGTCCTTTCTTGAGAGTTAAGACTTGAACGTTTAGTCATTAAAGCGATTTGTGAAGCTCGACTCTTCTGTTTCGTGGAAGTCGCCCGGGATTCACGATCTTTACTCTAGACCACACTTTTTCAGACACGTCTGATGGCGATATAGGCGCATCAGAGAGGAGTTAAGGGATGGCAAATCAGGATTGATTTTCACTTAACATAAGATATTTCAAACTATACCTTATCTTAGTTTTTTTCCGAGCAAAACAATTAAACAAGTCAAACCAAGAACGGCATACGATATCACGACATCTAATTTCTCCGCGTTGAATCGGTGCAGATTTGCAGTCTTTTGAACTGAATAAATTCAATTAGTTCATATGGCTTTTCACTTGCTTCTAAACTTCCAAGAAACGAGTGAATGTTTATTTTACAGTGATGAAACTGCATTAATTTATGGTGAGAAGAGTAGAACGTGAGATTTTCTCATAATTTCGTTGCTGATGGTTTGCTAAAAAGTACAGTTAAAAATTATGATTAACTAAATAATTCCTTTGGTCTATGGTTAAATCTTTTTGTTCCAAATCTGTCGTTCCAGTTTCGTAGTTTTCGCATAGGTTCAGTTATAAAATATTGAAAATTGTCTGCTGTCTATTAACGGCGATCGACCTTCTTTTGACTGAACACTTTATATAAGACGCACAAATCATGATTTTTCGCCTTGGCTGGAGACAAGAAGTTCTGTTGATTATGACTGTCTGTTCTTAAGGAAAATAGCACCAAAGTGTATTAAACTATCAACTTCTGTTTCTTGTTCAAAACATTTGGCGGTCAGGGAATTTCTTCCTCAGGTTTCATAGCTGTTAAGGAAACCCTAAATCGGATAAAAATGATACATAGAGGGAATTAGTGTTGTTTCTCTTCTTAAACACTCGGTGTTGTAGAGGATAAACATTGATACAGTTGAAACTGAATGCGCAAATTTATTCTTGTGTACAAGTTAGATAATGTTTCTCTGAGCATTTTATCTCAGACATTAGTCGTTCTTAAGCCCTTTGATTCCTGATAGATAAAGAAAAAAAAAAAAAGAACATAACACTGGTTGTGTTTCTGTCAAAGCTTGCTCATTTTTAACGTTCGTTTTGGTTCGCCTACTCCTTCTGTTTTTGAGACTGTTTGTGTTGCTAAGCGGTTTTTTTTTTAATTTTTAGCGCCGCCGGTTAAAAAAATGTGAATTGCATAAGAGGATTAAAAACAGTTTGTTCCTGACGATGTAATTAACTGATGATGCCGTTTTGCAGATGATGCCGTTTTGCAGCTTATGGCGATTTTTATCGTAAAAAAAAACCAAATGAACCTTTTCAGATAGCTGATTTATCTTAAACTTTCAATTAGAGATCAACTTGTAAAGATGCCGTCAAACGAGAAACCTCAAGCGAAAAAATGATGGCCCGTTAGTCCACATGCATGTAAGGGAGCTTCAATCACATGATTTTAGAGAGAGATTGGAACGAAGAAAACATTGTGTCCGTGGCAACGCGAGCATATGCTTAGGACATGAAACACGAGGCCAATTTGTTTTTGTCAAACAATGGATCTCACAAATCCGCTTTACTCCTGAAATGATCTAAAAGATGCCGCTTCAGCGTGGGAGTTTGGCTAAAAGATCACTGGTGTGGGGTATTCATCACTCTCTCCTCTGTCTTAAAGCAGGAAGTCTTAAGGTTTTTGTTGCTTTTAAGGCCTCTAACATGAAATTTGATAGAGAAGAGGCAGTTCTTGATAACAATTAAGTTGCAAGCGGATCTCATCTGAAAATATTCCTTGATACCACTTAATACGGCTTATGCTCATCGTATTTTTCACTGTCGTTTAACTTCGAATATTGATTTAAAAACTAGATAGAACTGGACACAATTTGTGCAGGAGTGCACTTTGTCGAGTGTACAAAGCTATGAAGTGGTGTATTTCAGGGTTTTCCAAAGTCAACGACGACCCTTTCTAATACTAAAACGCTCTATAAAACTAAAATAACATTTAGTGACATCGCTGTTCTTTTACTGATTTCGTATCTCGAATGTCGACGCACTCAGTTCTCCGCTTATGTCGGCGCCGTTTAAAACGATTAGCTACCAAAACAAATAGAGATTAAGAGATTTGGCTTAGAATTCAGAGCAAATTTACTGATATTTTTTACACCATCTTAGCCTCATAAGAGTTTTATTTCCCTCCTTAAATGCCATTATGTCACAGAAAAGTTACAGCATTTTTAGTCCATCTTGAAAATTGACTCAGTTAATTTTTATAATTGTTTAGTTTTAAAATGAAAGTCTTCCGAGAAATAACCTTTAGCTTAGAGGCCAGCAAAGTTAATTCACGCTTAAAAGTCGTTGAACTCTCGAGCAAGCTGAACGCCTCATGGAATAATTTCCCGTTACCCGCCAACGCAGTCAAATGGAAGTTCAATGTTACCCTTTTTGACATAGAAAATCATGGTTAAAAACAGTAATTAATTTAATTTCTCTCTGATTTAAAAGAAAGTAGATCTGCTCCCACAGCATTAAAAGAAAAAAAAAACTAGATAAACAGAGGACTGTAATCTGTTCTCAAAGGTTTATTTGCAATAAAGGTGAATATAAAACTTGTCTCGATCGATATCCTTTTTTTTTTATCTTAAGTCAGTTTCCTTTCCTCTACTCCTGCTTTTTCTATCGTTTACATGTTGTGCGTCAAACTCGAACTAAACTACGAATTCATCATTTCCCTTAATTACAAAGAGAGTGCTGATTTTGTTCCTTATTTGATTGTGATTCTGTGAAACGGCGTCACTCCATCTTCGTCAATGTCTCTAGTTCAACCTGCAGGGTCAAATTTAATGAATGCGATAAAGTGAGAGAGTGTCTCGTGCAGTGACGAAAAGTTATTTGGTGGGTGGACAGACTATAAACTGTAGCTAGCATAGCATGCATGTGGTGTGAGTTGATCTGCCCACAGCATGTACGGCGACGCTTTACACACGAAATATCTATTATTCAGAAGTAAAATGTCACTAATTTTTTGTCCTTTGTGGTCGTAGAAGTTACGTTTACGCAGGCCAGAGAAACTCTGATGCGATACTTTGGGGCTTGGCCTATCTGCCTTGACTATTTTAAAAAATTTCAATCGAGTCACCCTGAAATATTGAATTCATGAAACTTTGCACCTGTGATGTTAATTTAGAACTATATTTCGCAATTAAGAAGGTTTGATAATACTGATAAACAGAATTTTAGGGCCAAGAACTGAACCTCTGGTATCAAGGTATGGAAGGTTCAGTTCTGTTCTATTGAATTTTAGCAAGAATGGTATATGAGTCCAGCCTTTTAATCTTTATACTTCATATACAATAGCTTACATTATTACGATGGTCTAAACTGGATTTTCAACGTGAAAGCTATTCCTCTTAGAGGTATCGTGTTAGTCCAAGGGAATCTCAAAAACCACGTCGAAATTCCTGTTCAATCTGAACTGCTTGCTTTTAAGAGCTTAGCTACAGTGTTAAATCTGTGATGATAAAAAAAGGACTGATTTTTTCACGCTACACGGTGTATGTTTTTTATGGGAGCTAACTAAACCATAAACAGTCTCTTGCAACAATTACCCTTCACAACTACAAAAAGTTTTACATGAAAAAAAAACCTGGAACATGGTTTATCAGTTGAAAGAATTAACTTGACATTTCAAACTGAAAAGAAGTTGAAAACGAACGAGTCATCGCAGAAGAGAAACTTCTGCCATCTTTCATCCCAAAGCACCAGTCTGGCTTGAAATGAGTACACTTCTCTATTTCATGATCAGTAAACATGCTTCATTAGTTGTCTTCTCTAGTTCCCTCGTTATGATGACCTCTTAAACAGTAAATCACTTAAACAACACTCTCGTGACTGGGTAACCACGTGAGCAAGTGATCGCCACGTGGTGCCACGTGGTAATTCACTTAATATTTCCTGTTCGTCTGAGTTACAAGCTGTTCAGGCGGCATGTTAAATGCAGTGTTTTGTAAATGTGTAGGAGCTGAATTTTAAATTCCCATCGTGTGAGCAGATTTTATCATCTGACCAAATAATCAGGTTGTTTAATCGGTTGAAAACAGATGTTCGTAAAGAAAGAGAACATTTCCTTTGTTTTGGATTCCATTAAGCCGGTTATCGACTGCCATTAATGTTTCCGCCAAAATGCTGACCGTAATCCCTTTGTAAAACGTGTAGAGAAAGCTCAAATCTGTTACCTGTAAAAATTCTTTACCAAAAAGCTTTTTACCTTCATGCTTTCATAAAGATATTTTCAATTTCTTTCTTGGTCTCGAAATATTATTATAAAAGGAAACTAGAAGCTGGCCATAATCTGAGCCCGCTAACTGAGAAGTAAAAAATATTTAACCACCTAAAACTTTTCGAAGAGTGGACGAAATGAGACACCAACGTCCGATCATAGCAGATACTCAGGAAATTGTCTTGAACAGAATCTTGGGATCCCCTTGAAACGTTTTGCACAGTATCGTTCCGCACGGTCTCAGCTCAATTACGATAGGTGCGGTTGATACGCACTCCACTATGTCCTTAGTCTCAAAGGAACCGCAGAGAGACTGAGAACGAAGCCAAGAAACCTTAGGGACAAAATCTGTAGACATACATGACAAAATTATCCCTCAAAACAACATGGCGGCCACAATTAAAAGAGAAACTTCGTGGAGACGACGCTGGAAACCGAATCTTAACTCCCAACCATGGAAACATTTTTCCATTTCTGGAAAATCATTTTTATTGAAGTCCATGTTTGTTGACGCGGACTGCTCTTATGAATTTTGCTTGTGGGATTTCAGCACTTTCTGGTACGAGAAAGTTGAGCATGATGAGTTTGAAGCTCGAGCAAAGGTGTAGTACTTGCATGTGACTTTGCATTTATCCTTTGATATTAAATGTAGCCTTCCTAGAGATTATTTCGAAAGCTGGATACCGTAAGTTTTTGATATAAGGGAAAATATTCGGGTACCTCAAGGTAATGTTTAAAAAAAAAATAGACTTATTAAGGCAATGATACTGTAGGACACTACCGTCATTCGTTCACCAGCCGATGTTAGTTGGTGGTCCAGAATGCCTTAGCTTATCCCGGTTTCCATAGCATGACAGTAAAAGATAAGGCCTATACTTCAGCCAGGTGGCCCATCCAGCGAGAGGCTACTCCAGTTTCTGAAGCAGGTATCAACAAGGAGTACAGCTACTCCCCTGGCTATGATGCCAGCTCATCACTAGCTACCCCTAGGTATTTCATCAACTTTTCCCCAATAGTATGCTGGTGCCCATTTATACTCCTGGCTGGAGAGATGCACTGGGAGAGTAAAGTGTCGGGCTCAAGAACACAACACATTGACCTGGTTACATCTCCAACCTGAACATCTCAATCCTGGCCCTGGTCGATTGAAGGGCAGATAACGCTATCCACTGGATAAATTGCTATCTGGTTGATAGCCTGGTATATTTTGTTGACACTTATCAGCTGGACAGTGATTCATCTGTTGCATAGCGTAATCCCTGCTGTTCTCAATACATTTCCTAAGGGGCTGACAAGGAGAATTTGTTGAACAATCGAGAGCTTCTATCGTTGGTGATCATTTCCTTTTTTTCTTGTGACCTTTCTGTGTGATTTTGGGGGTGATATTGTAAGGAGAAATTAGATGCTAGTCACTCTCAAGGGTTAAAGGGTTAAGCCTTTCACTCCCAAGATTCAATCAGTAATTCTCCTTACTATCTGCCATACAATTCTTATGATGTTAGTTCAGAGAATTTGGTATTGGATCAACTAATTTATTTATTTATTTATTATTTATTTATTTATTTAATGGATTCGTACAAGTACAAGTACAGGTGCATAACAATAGGACATAAGTCCCCTTCTTGGTTAATACACCCACACCCAGCCCCGTAAAAAATATCCCAGAAAGAAATATCCTGAAAAAAGATCCCTTCCCTGATCCGACTAAACTACAATTCAAATAATCTAAATCACACAGAACATTCTAAAGTATACAAATTAACAACTTAACTTAACTTAACTAAACAAGTACAGACAGAAGAAGTATTTGCACAGCGACACTTAGGACAAATTAATTTAATAGAACGAAAATTGTCACCATCAAAGGCATTCAAATGATAATAATCCCATAATTTATATTCTTCTCTATTCTCATCACCTACCTGCTTGATATTGTATTGATATTGTAAGGAGAAATTCTGTCTTGGTCACTTGTGGGAGTGGAAGGTTTAAGCCTTTAGAAAGAGATACTGTGAGGCCTCAGAGATCTGCAATGCAGAACTCTCTCTCAAAATTTCCTTAACCTCAACATCTTTGTAATCATACTTGTACAATATTCCCAAAAGTCAAGGAATTTCAAAACCATGTGACTGTGGCACTATTATAGTAGTGGGTGTTCTGGTATCAACCCATCGCTTCTCTGTTTCTTTCCATGTATCTCCTTCTATCACTTAGTTGTTTCTTAATGCTGTATAATAGTCTGGATTGTATAGGTTCTCTTGATTCCTTAAATTTTTAGAAAAACTTAATGACTGCCTTTGGTTTAGTTATTGAGAATCATGACTGGAAGTCAAACTCGTGCAATTTCTAAGTATTCTTAGCCAGCTTAAACAAAATGTTAGACACAGGATTTGTAGATCTGCTGGGGAGCACTTAGCACTCCTTCATTGATAGATGCTATTTTGGATTGTATAGGTTCTCTTGTTTCCTTAAAGTTGTTAGAAAAATCTGCATCTGGGCTTGTTTAATTCTTCAAGTTCTGTGAGAATACTCAAACTTATCAGGTTGAAGTTGTTATCTTGATCTAACACCAAATTCTCATAGCTTATTGACAAGAAATTGTATAGAAGCTTGAAGAAAGAATCAATAATCAGATCATGGGATTTAAAGGGCCAAGTGGTCACCTCCATTAAGCAGTTGTGGTCTTCCTTGACTTAGGACCAACAGCCTGTTTGTATTGTCTTTCACTTGTATTGGACACTCACTTAAATTGTAACCACTCAAACAAATAGAAGAGTAATCTCTCAATTAAAATTTATTCCATGTATTTCTTGCCAATCAATGTTAGTGCTTTGGGTTCAAAGGTCCTTGATGTATTTCAGATCGTCTTTCTTCTCTGGACTGTTTGGACAAATATTATGCACAGACATCATGAAGGTCAACTGTAAGAGCAAATATTTTATTGTTGAAAAGCTGTGGGCTTTGCCATATATAATTTTGAACAGACTAGTCAAGATTGGCTACATTTGTAATTTATGGTAATAGGACTGAGTGGAGTCCAATTTAGTCTGTAATCATATGAGTGATTAACAAAATCAGATGAAAGTCAAGCATGAGTCCAATTTGTTAATCACACATATGATTGCAGACAGAATTGGACAACATGAAGTCCTGCTACCAATCAATCAAAACTATGACAACATTTGTGAAAGAGACTAGACATTGGTCATAAGTTTTAATAAAAAAAAAACAGTTAACTCAGTGAAATGCGAGACAACAGTGCACGCATATAATGCATTCTGTCCACTTAAGTTGACATGAGGTGTTAACTGTCCCTTTAACTGTCCTATTACACTGTCCAATTACAAGCATGACCAGTACAATATCCTATTAGTGCTCAAATCAGGCTGGTGATAGCCAATCATGTTCAAGAATTTTGTTATATTTTTGATTAGAGTCATTGTAAAGGCAGAGGTAGCATATAAGAGGAAGCCAATAAACAATGTTAATGTCTCTCAGTTGGGTGATCCAGCTAACTTTAGCACAAATTTTAAATTTGTTATGCCCTCGCAAGATGAAATATGCTTTCAGCACCTGTCTAACCTGTCTCATCTGCATTGAGAGTTTGGCTCTGGCCACTGAACACAGGAAGCATTATAAGGTCCCAAATGCACCAAAGTGCTTATGTGGAAATTTTTTGCAGAAACTCAACCCAAATGTTGAAGCAAAACTCACTTATTTGCTGAAATTTGTGCAGAAAAGTGTTGTGGAACCTAATCAAAAGGAAGAACCATTGTTTATAATCAATCAGGTGAGCAAATAAAGCTATTACAATAATGTCTCAATGAAAGAGGCTCCCCCCTCCATTACATGTGTGCCCTGTACTATCAAATGCTAAAAACTGTGATTGCCTGAAATATTTCACTCAGTTATAGAAAAAGAAAGATAATAAATTTTGAGGTCACCTAAAACAGTTCCAAAATTTTTTCTTGTAAACCCCCACATGTGACAAGGTAGTAGACAGGATTTTGTGGGATTATTCTTAGAGCTCATTGCTAAGTAACCATTTGGAACTGGATTGAGGGAGCTAGAAGCCTTGCAACACAGTCATTGTTACAAAATGTAACCTGATCTGAAGTCCTGTCCATTTCCACACATGTACAAGGGATCAGGGATATCCCAGTGATGAAATCACTAAACACCTTTTATTACCTGTAGGTTCACCATGGTAGATTTGATTTTCGGTCCTGCTGTCACAAGTGGGTTGAGTTTGTTATAAGTTCTAATTTTAGCTTCTGGGGTTTCCTTCCTCCAGAAAGAAACAAGTGTGTGATATGTCAGTGAGACCTAATATAAGCTGACAGAGAACCATATGGGGAATGTTCCTCTTCTAGATGGCATTTTCTCTCTCATAAGTATTATTTATAGTGTTTTTTTACATTGTTTATCTGCCACAAGTAGAATATTTAATTGTATGTTTTTTTTTAAAGGAGAATTCCTCGTCTGAGGATGAACTGGTTTTAAAAATGAAGGCAAAGTTACAGGGGGGTGTACCATTTGTCTGGGAATTCCACTGTTCAGAAGGAGGAAAACACATGGTAAGAAAATAGAGAAATGAAAAGGAAATTATTGATACCTGGTGTTGTTGTGTTTGAGGTCTGTGTTGGAATATACTATTTAGCTTCTTTTGCAAATGGATTTAAAGCCCCACTGTTAACCCTAATCTCACAAGATCCAATGACAGTGTAGCATCAAGCAACCCTTTCATGAAAACAAGCAGGGCAGTTGTGAAAGGTTTTGGACAGAAAATAGTTATAAAAACCATCTGCACCTTCACTGCTCACTTTGGTGGCTTCCTTGCCCTTATTTTTCACTGTGCATCCCCTGAGAAAAAACATACTATGCAGGTACTAGAAAACAAAGGTTAAACAATTGCCGTTATGGGCTACTCTGGGATATAACCTGTCTTTTTAACTGTGATTAAAATTTGTGCACATGTACTTATTACTCCCGAGAGTGATAGGGTTGCATCAAAATATGTAGATTTATTATTTTGTACTGTAAAAAAAAAAACCTGTTTAACCAGTTGGCTGTGTGCGCTATGCTTCTCTATCTGCTTTGCTTTTCCCGCCTTATGAGAAATGAACAGAAAGACTTAAGATAAAAATAAGCGGTTGGATAATAAATAACTTATTAGACATTTTGGTGTGAAGTATTGATGAGTATTTCAGTCTGCTCATTGTTTGTATTTTGACTCACCTTACAGGCTTGTCAAACTGCGGCACAACTCATAAAAATGTTCAGCAATAATATACACCAAAGTGTGTTATTTATGTTGTTTTAAGGTTGGATCACAGCTAGTGCAGCCAATGCTTGCCATGATTGCTGAGTTAAACAGACGGCAGGCTGAGCTCTGTAAGCTTCTGAGGAGAAAGGATCAGGAGATTATGGATTATAAGGACTCAGGAGCATGCTTGTCAAGAAGTAAGGGGTACAGTTGTGAAATAACACACTTTCTTCTGAACTGTTGATTTTTCTTTTGGAGTTAGAAGGCAACTGTGTGCATTAACGTTGTTATTCACTCCTTGTCACAGCTTTTCACTGCCAGGGGTCACTAACAGGGAGTTTTTGACTGTGCAGAGAATTGATGTTTAGATCCTAGAGAGGGAAAGGGTCGGACCTCAAGCCTTGACAAATGCATGCATATTGTTTAATGCAGCTGACAAACATTGTCTGGAACAAGGCTATTTAAAATCCTACAGGTTACTTAACAATTATTTCATGAGTGCATGTTGGTTATGAGATGGTAAATAGTTGACACAGTGCATAGCCCCGAGTTGGCCTTAATCAATTTTGTCTCTGACAAGTGCAATTGGAATAATTGTTTTTATTATCAAATTCCATTGAATACTGGACATTTGGATGTTTGGAAATTTCTTCAGCCCTGCAGCAGTTGGTACAATGTATTTCTATGTAAGGTGACTCAGAATATGAGGTGATAACTAGCCCTGGAGTTGAGTGAACCAATCAGAAAACTAGAAATGCAATATTCACAAATGAAAATGTTTGCATCATTAAATTAATATGTGATATTCAGTCCAGTTTCAACTGTTCTCTCTTACAACTTTAGAAAGCCTTGCAACGTCGGAGTTTAATGAAGATACATTCAAAAGTAAAATGATTCTCTCACAGGTATGAATAGCTTGCATTACTGAAATTGATATTGCTCTTGACCTTAATTAATAACTTGCTAACTGAAGCAGACATGATTGTTATTTTCCTATGTGGGTTGCATGTGTCATGTGAAACAATTTTAGTCCAAGAAAGTGTATGAACTTCTTATCAACTGAGCACATGGGCCATACTGGGAAATATTGGCCTTAGAATATGACAGTATGGAACAAGGGCCAATATTCCCCAGTATGGCTTGAGCAAACAAGGTTAGTAAGCAGTTTATTATACAGCACTTGGACCAAACTTGTTCATTTTGAATATTCTGGGATTTCAAAACAAAAATACACACCTAATGACTGTTTCCATGGGAATGGTCAAAATCTTGCTTAATCCCGACCTTGTAAGTATAATCAGAATGCTTGGATTTACCTCAAGGCTGCGTTGTTGTGTAAAAAAAAAGTAATTATTAATAGTTAAGCATTTTTTGGTCACATTTCCTTTGTTGTTAGTTGTTAAGATTTGTTTACCTTAATCACACTGCCGCGTAACATTCCTTATTTCTCTCATTTTCCGCTTGTTTTATTTTTGACAGAAATCCAAGATAGCCATCCTTTTGTGACTAAATCAACATAGTCTCTGACATCATGATTTTAGAGCTATTTTATTATAAGGCACCACGAAAATGCATAATTCACTCAGAGACATTTTTTTCCTAGGAAAAAAGGAGATCTTTTTGATGGTCTTCATAACAGCCATCTGATTTCAAACTTAACCCTGTAACTCACAAGATCTGATTGTTCATTCTCCCCTCTAGCTGCTTCACATTTCCTTGTAAATTAGTTACAAGAATTTGGTGTTGGAGAAAGAAAACAACTTCTACATGATGAATTTGAGTATTCTTACTACCTAGTGTGTGGGGGATAATGTGTAGATATTCTAGGGAGAATTTACATGTTAATTACTTTTTGGAGTTAAAGGGTCAACTGTTAGCTTCATGTGTATTTTTTCATTTTGTTTTCATGGCCTGATTTATTAGGGTTTTGAGGATGCTGTACAAGATGCAGTTATACAAGGACTTGATGATGACTCATCTGAACTGTATAAACAGGTTATGATAAAAACAGCATGGCTAGCAGAAAAAGATCTACCAGGTGACAAATTATCTTATAACATAGCTAGTAAATTTGTCTAATCAAATTCAATTGTGTGAGTGTGCTTCACATTCCTATTGTGCATGCTCATGACATCAGCAAACAAATCCCTTGAGAAAAAAATTTTCCATTAGGTTGAAAATGTTATAAAATAATTGGTTCATACGTCAGCTGTGCATTCATCAAGATATGAAGCACTTAGCAAGTTTGGAGAGCACTCAAGAAGCTAGAGTTGCTCTCAGCTACACCTCAAGCAACTCTGACACATAATTCGTGCTCTCCAAACTTCTTGCGTGCTTCATATCTCGATGAACGCATGCTGACATATGAACCCATTGTTAATTACAGTTACTGCTGTTGGATACATCATCATGACAGTGTTCTTTTTACCCTTTACACCCTAACATCAATATGCATATTCTCCACACATTTCCTAGGGTGGTAACAATGAGAACTTTTTTTACAGTCAAGAGCTTCTATAGCTTGTCATCATTTCCTTTTGTCTCATGACGTTAGTATACCATTCAGGGGTGATATTGTAAGGAGAAATTAGATGCTGGTCACCCTTATGGGTCAAATTAAAAGTTGGTCTTCAAGGAATACACTACTTCATACAATACATTCCTACAAAATCAACTCTGATGCAAGTTGTTTAACCAGAAAATGTTTTACCTTTTCATCACAGCACTGAATTTCCCCCAGCCCCGTCCCCTCAGTTTTAGGTCTTTTCTGGGTAATTGTGGCTAATCTTGGGACTATTTGATCAGTGGTGAAATTCAAATAAATGGAGTCTATCAGGTTTTAAAATTTTGGGATAAAGTTTACATAAATTTAGTAATTTTTAGGTCCTCTCTCATTTCTCAGCTTCTGATTGCAGGTTTACCTTGGCAAAAATTACAAAAAAAATTCTGAAGTAGTGCTAGTGGGCTTTAAACTGGATACAGTGGTACTAATAAATGTTTCCACTTGTTGCCTTTCTCCATTTACCGTAACAGAGCCAGATGAAGATGTTGAAGAGGCAGATGATATCTACGGATCAGTGGTTATAGGGGGTCCTAGTGCCCCCTCATGGACTGATATACCCCCTCCTTCCCTCTTTGGAAAGGAAGATGAACCTTTAACCACATCCCCCAGGGTATCTCCCAGGAAAACACCCGTCACATCACCAGCAAAGTCGTCTGGGATGTCATTGCCCTCAGATTCGCCTTCTAAGGTAAAAATATGAACAGAATATCATAAGGTTTGTTTGTGAATTAAGCTGGTCGAATTGACGGACAAAGTTTCTTTTAGTTGTCAAAGCATGAAGCAGTTTTACCATTTAACCGCTCCCCTTGAGTGTGATTGTGGGTTCCTAACAAGGAGCCTACTTGTTGGATAAGCCCCAAGTCATGGGTCAGCGGAAGTGTTAGACTTACTGTTATTAACAAACCTGTATGAAATTACACTCCGTTTAATTTTCCTTGAGAAATGGTGTAACCCTTTTTAAATTTTCTTCTCCTATTGTATACTGAGGAGCCCCCCCCCCCCCCCGAGGAACAATGAGGCTGAGTGTTGTCAGAAATTGTACCAATTTTTCTAGTTTTATATTTCTTTTCAGGATATGGAACTAGAAAGACGCGAAGCACTGCAAAAGAGACTAGCCGAGGAAGCCGAACGAAAGAAAAAGAAAAAACGCAAAGTTAAGTTATGACAGGCGCGCACAAGTCAATATTTTCAAAACTGGACTGCAAGGATCTAGAACTTTAGAGCTTGGTTGATCCTTACGCGCGAGAAGATGCAAGCTCTTTTAGGGGCTTTATTTCACGGTTAAAAGACTTCTTTGGGAAACAACAGTTTAGAAATATTTCAGGGAAGCTAACGACAAGTAAAGCATAGGTCAAAAAGGGCGTGGGCACGAACTTGATCGACAGTGTCCGACACCATCGTTTAACCCGTATCACCGCCCCCTCTGCCTTCAAGATATACCCTTGAGCAACACGCCCTGTGCAGAAGTAGTACTTTAGAAATAAAGAGCTACTGTAATTAGATAGAGAAATCTTCAAATGCGTGTCGAAAATATTATAGGACTGCTTTCGTTTTGCTTTGCTAATCTTTGTAATTTTTTTAAAGGGAAAAGAAACTCACCCTTCCCCCTCGACCAATCAAATGTAAAACTTAAACCTGAGAGACTCAGTCACTCAGGTTTTTGCAAGCTTTTTCGCCTTGAGCTCCCTTGGGCTTTTTGTAACATTATCTTTGTTCTGATTGGTTACTGTGATTACTATGGTTTGGGTATTACGACACTCCCTAAAAAAGCGGTTTACGTACCTAATCAAAAAACAACTACCTATAGGGGGAGAATAACCCCTTTTTTCTCGTTTTTGGTTCAGTGAAAAAGTGCTACTGGTCACAGCAGTGTTTATCTTAAGGGGGTAATTTTCTAAAGAAACTGTGGTGCTGCGTCGGTGGGAGAATGTAACAGGATAATTTAATATTATCAACTGAGTTGATAACGTATAATGGCCACCGTAAAGAGTTTAAAAGCTGACATTTCGAGCGTTAGCCCTTCGTCAGAGCGATTTGAGGAATTTTGGGTTGTTTTTGTATATTTATGCAGAAAAAGGAGCTACGCTAAGATGATCCTTTCACTGCCAGGAGTGAGTGACCAAAAAGGAATTTCTCCTTAACAATATTGATACAGAAAATTATAGATGAACGGATATTGTTTGATTCATCACCAATTATCACAGCTTATAGTGCAAGAAATGTTTGGCAATCGGGGCTGAAAATTGAAATTAAATTTTGAGTGTCATTTTCAGCCTAGTTGAAAATGGTCCCTCAAGAGAATGGAATCTTGAAAAAGTCCTTTGTTGGCGTGGACGAAATTTTAAGTAACAGAACGAAGATAGTTGGAACGGTGAAGTTCAACGCAGATGATTCTCAGAAGTTACATACCACAATTTTGCGTCTGGTTAACGAGCAGAGCACGGAGGAAAATACTGTGCGCGATAAACCGGAGATGAAAATCTTAGGCCCTAACCTTCAAAACAAGCACGTCTTGATCAATTTTCAGTTGAGAAGACAATTAAACCGGGAAAGTACTGGTTTTGCTTCACTATGCTCGAGGGTTGTACAACAAATGCAAACCATTCCGGAGCCAACACGTCCATACTAAACCAGTCACGTTTTCGGGGTAGTGGGGAGGGGGTTACTGAAGTTTCCCACGTTTGTAGCTGTCCGCGTATATTTATTGTTAGCTCTCATTGGGTTGTGATGGTACAATTTGTCACTGTGATCCCTTTTGTTTCGCATCTCTCCATCCAGGTGCCTTTCTCATTAAAAACGCAATTCATTTCACGACTTTTTCCTTTCTGCCGTTTTCCTTGTGAATTATTTGTATCTACAAAAGCTGCCGTGCTTTAAGTGTAACTAAGCTCATTGCAGGTCACTAGTTATACTTTACCCCTCCCCCCTCCTCCCACTTTTCCCTAGCAAATCAATTACTTTACGACAACACTAAAATTAGGGATGTTTCAGGAAATGTGATGATGAATCGGATGATCGGTGAAAAGCGATCTTTTGTGCTGAGATAACTGCTCAAGGCAAAGATATTTTAAATTGATTTCATTTTACTCGGTGATTGATGTTTTGTCAATCGAGAGGAGAGTACAAATCCAGTGAGGGATATCTCTGTAGAAAGAACACATATCCAAACTGAGTAACCACAAAGAATAATCAGTATTCCCAGCTGCAAAATGCGAAGAATGTAGAATTTGTGCGTCTAGAAGCTCCCTACAGCTATTTATCACTTATTTTCCAAAACAAACTAGCCGTGGGTGGAAAACTAAAAAATCCGGAAGGAAAGAAAGAAAAAATTGTACATTATTGTCAATCGTGGCGTCAAGGCAAGGGCTTGCTTTGGCTCGCTTGACTCCTCTTTTTGTTAATTGCGATTGAAAAGTCCTCATAAATTGACAAAATTTGCATGAAATCTAAATTTTTAAAACCTAAATTGCTGTTCCCCAGTTTGTGTCTTGTGAACACAATACAACACGACAGGACGACTAAGGCAGGTGTACCATGAAACGTCATTTTCTGTCGTCTCTTTGTCTGCGTTTTTAAGAAAGTTGACAGTTTGAAGTCTACCAACGGAAGAACAATCCATTTATTCAACTTTCTTTTGGTTATCCATTATTTTAGGGACAAAAATCGTCGCAGAATGTCATTCAAGCCTTGATTTAGTGGCATGTTGTCACACGCACTTGTAATAAAGCTTCCGTCAAAATTTAGCCTCAACTGTTTCTTTGAACGTCTGCCTAGAAAGAAGATCTGGTTGCCTAACTTGGCGAGGAAAGTGGATTTGAATTGCCCCGAGAAAGGTGCCTTTGCTCCGCTTGGCAGGTAAATGTTAGAGAAATTTATAGAATATATATCTTATGTAATCCGTTTAGTTTTAAGCTTAATTAATAAGGATTAAGACGAAGTGGGAAACTCGTCTTTAAAATGATTGTTTTCTTTCTCACTCGCATTTTCACCGTTTTGCTTTTCATCTGAGAGATTCAAAATTGTGCATAAAAGAATCCAATAGACTTCCACGCCTTTATCAATTCATTGTCTAGTTGTTCCAAAAATGCGTCGATTCAGGTGAAATAAGGGTGTCTTACATTTTGCACCATAATTATTCAAAATAGTCCTCGACTACCGATTTTAAATGGCTCTCGGAGTGTGGCGAAATCCTCTCGTAAAGCTAGCTTTGACTTTTCGCTGTAGACAAAGCGACAACGAAACAATATAACCAATTTCAAATATTCGGATCTAGCCCGAATCAAATTTACTGTTACTGCTTTGAAAACTGAATTATGATAGAAAGTCACGTCGCTTTTGAGACTTATCGAACCAAGAGGATGGTATGGTTTTTTCCCGGCAAGAAGACCGTTTAAAAGTGACATCAATCCAAAAGAAACACAACGACTTTATTCTATGGAAAAGTGTTTAATTAATGTATAAATAATATGCATAATAGCTAGACATATGTATTTAAACAAGCTGGTGTTATCATTAAAACTAGACAAGAACCAAAATGCGCAACAATGGTTTTCGCATATTTTGCATTATAAGTGTTGGTTTTGTTTTCATTTTCATTTTTTATGTTTGAGTATTATGAAAAAGAATGTCCTAATTGTAATCATGGTAATTCTAAATATTTTGGTTTTTTGTTTATCAGATAGAGTACATTTATTCGTTCTACATCTGTGTATTATTTTCTTTTTCCCGGAATATTCACATGAAAAGGAACAGATTGTCAGCTCGGAGCTGAAAGTCCCAGTGACGCATGCTCAGGCTTCTGGTCGTAAATAGATGTGCTTGTTTGAACGCCGTGTTTGTGGCGTAACTAAAACCATTGTCTTGATAAGATTTGTAGATTGCACAATGATCACAAGCTCAACTCTTAATGCCTTTCTTTTGTCAAAATAGATCATTGACCATTTTTTCTTAGGTTTATGACCCTAATCGTTATATGTGCGTTCTATGAGAGATTGCCAAAAATTACAGGGGTTAGCAGCCACCTGTACAGATTTTGGTCGATTAGTAAGCAATTTTGAGACGCTGTCCATTTTCCCTTTAATAAAAAGAATCCATTGTAATACCATTTGAAGGATCTGCTGATACAGGTTGAAGTCCAGCGAAAAAGATTGATTCAAATGGCCGTTCCCATTTAGAATTATCCATCGAATATAGGTTCGTTTTACAATATAAAAGACTGCGAGGGATTTAATCTCTCGGTCCAGGAGCCCATTACTTATATGTAATACATAAGTAATGGGCTCCTACTCGGTCTCAATTAATTCGATTCACTGAAGAGATCCACTTTTCAGGGTAAAAGATTCTGGTTTTCAGTTAATGACACATGTATACTCGGATTGAACTAAAAAAAACCTCGAGTGCTTCCAACTGTACAAAAGTCAAAGTTTCGAGGGGTGTGGGAATTATGGAAAATTCACCAAGAATCACATAATGAGATTCGTGATCTTTCCTCTGAATCGTCGCCCAGATAAATAAATACCACACAACAACATGCATTCCTCTGCTCGAAAACCTACAGCATTAACACAGAATCTGATAAAGGCTTTCAAGTACGTGTTTATTTCCATGATGAACGCAAACTAGCTGAACTAGCCTTGCTTTTTAGTTTTTGTTCAGGAGTAAGGAAAGGAAGGAGCCAATTGGAGAGGAAAGGGCTTGTTGGAGAGGGGGTCTTACCAAGAACTGGAAGTTTTTGGCCAGCGTGTTGGGAAAGGGAGCTTAAAAAATGAAGAGAATGTAACATAAAGGGAAGCTTAAAAGGGCGTTTACAGTATTATTGTAGTATGTGGACCGGTAATTGGCAGGTCACAGTTTCGATTCGAAACTGAAACAGGACATCACAGAAAACCGGCTTTTCGATTGTAACTGAACAACTGTTTCCATGTCAACTTAATGATCATAACGAGGAAAACGTGACCAAACTCTATCTTTAAGGTAAGACCTCCAAAAGGAATAAGAAGTAATCAACCTGCCTTTTTTATAGTTTTTTTTTTTTGCAGGAATGGTTTAAAGTAATGTAATATTTCCATTCCTTTCCCCGACACGAATATAAGGAAACCCTTATGATATTTCAGATTAAATATAGTTGTATTTTTATCGTTTAACAAAAACTTTGCAGAGCGACGAGATTTTTCTTCTCTGGGGAGTTTGCTAAAGAGCCTCGACTCAGTGAACGAACCTCATGTCGAAAACGAGGGCTGTTTTGAGTCCTCACTTTCTTTACTCGGATTAGTTGTACTCCCTACTTGTTAGGGAGCGATAGTCACGGGGGTTTTAGGAGCAATGTTGAGTATTTCATGTTAACCCTTTAACTCCCAAGATAATGGTGTTAGTTCTCCCCTCTGGTTACTACACATTTCCTTGTAAATTAGTTACAAGAATTTGGTGTTAGATCAAGATAACAACTTCTACCTGATAGGTTTGAGTATTCTCATAAGCTGTTTGCTGGATAAGTTAATCAC